TGTCCCCTTCAATCTATAAAATAATAAATGTTAGCTATTCATATACATAAAATGATTTAAGCAGTATATGTTTATGAAAATAAAATATAATAACTATAGAGCGTGATGACCTATTAAATTATAAGCACATGCACCGACTTGGATCCATGGTGCATATATATATCCATATATTGGTGGCTTAAACTTTATAACACTTTGCCTTAAAGACATAATCACTATTAATGTCCCTTTATAGTTATAACAGTGTCCCGCCAACATTACAAATATAAAATCGTTAAAATTATGAGTAAAGCATAGTGAATCATAAGTTTTTTTCTGTATATAAATTTTGAAAAGAATGGAAAGCTCATGTAAATAACTACATTACTGTGAATAGGAAAAAATACTATATACTGATTATATATATTGTCTCCTTCATGATGGGTAACAATGTACTGTAGTTACAGGAATGTAGATCTGAATTCCAACAAAACATTTATTTAAAAACAATAAAATATGTAGGTATCCAAATTGACTTTTCTACATGTGAATTTAGCCTGTCTAAACCCTGTAGCTTAGCACAGGAGAAACTGGGGTTAAAATGTCCTGAGGGTGTGTGTATTACACAAGGTATAGGGTCTGATGTCAAATTATATTGATCAGAACCCAAGGGCAAAATCTGAATAGAAGGAGGGTTGGAGAGTCCTGACCCTAAAGACATCCCTATGCACAGATGATATGTTTTTTTCAGGGGAATGTCACCTTTTTTCAATGGTCTTTTTGTAAATCTTTTTAAGTTATTACGTAAACTTAAACTTTCTTAAAAAAAACATAAAAAAAACAAATGATATCGATTCTAGGAAGTGTGTAGTTATCTAGTACGGAATTAGATGCTATCTTAGTCCGTGTTTCTAGTAAGAAATCAAAATGAACACCAAACGTCATTGTCAGATTACCTATCCAGAGAGTAGATGATGTATGCATAAAGAATACCAATGTGGTAGGATTGAATTTTATCAAATATATTTGTAATGTTGTATAATAATTGATGTATAATAATATGTCCGGAATAGAGGTCAGAAGTGTGACGTCAGTATATATCTATCATCTGACTGGCTATTGGGTTGGCCCGCGAAACCTTTGTATGACTAGGTAGACGAGAGAGCGACGACAACGACAACTGACAAGACTATAAGGGAGACTTGAATATGTGTACAGACTAATACATGAGCTGGACATATTCTAAAGCCTTCTGCCACACAGAGGGTAATATTTACCTACAATAAAACGCCTGGTCGAGCTTGGGTTGTTTATTCACCCCCAAATACATGTACCCCTCGGTTTCAATGGAGCCTCCAGTGAGAACCTGTCAGATTCAGTCCAGCATTTGTTTGTGCCAGTTTGAACTGTGATGTCAATGCTTGTCGTACGTGCCATGTTTGAAGCTATGCAAGCTTTACTTTGTGTGTAATCGTAGTCAGCCAACCCAGCCAAACAAGACAAGGTGACCTTAGCTACAGTGACAGGTATACGTACATGTAACGGGTGCGTTCTATGCGTGTGTAATTTTAAGCGTCTGCAAGACACAGATATATTACGTCGAAATACGTTTGACTAAAACGCTGATATGATCAAGATTTTTTTTCCAAGATGTCTGCGCCCATGATTCGATTAACTTACCTTTTGAAAAGCACTGTGTTTCACGCTTAGCCCCTGAGAGACATGTATTAGACAGTGCTTTGCTCATCTAGAGTTGTATGTTATAGAAGAGACCCATATCTAGATATCCATTAAGCTATATTACCAATTGAACATTACAGAAGACGTCGTGCCAAGCTTTGCTGCGTTGTATAGTGACTGTGTTTAGTGACTGTCAAGTGTATATTGTGTTGCTTTATCGCTATTTATTTTCATTTGGTTAAATATTGTTGCATTATTGTTTTTTTGCATTATTTTGATTCTAATTTGCTTATTGTCATTTGTGTGTGTTTGTTGTGTTGCTATATTTGCCTTTGTATTGTTGCTTTGTGTATTGTAATTTTTTTGTATAAGTGTAGTGCACACGTACTTGTATCATTTTTGCCCAGGTAACTACTCACTGGTCTAGTACATAAATAACTACAATAAAACCACTGGTTCGTTATCAAAACGTCGAGCTTGGATTGTACACCCCCAAATTCCCCTCGGTTTCACCAAAGTGATATATATATATATATATAATTCAGTTTTAAAAATGATAATTACCTGTGTAACAATTGACAGGATTAAATGCATTCACAATAACATTAAATTGTTAAATCATATAAGAAAGTACTCAGAATAGTTTCCGAAAACAGGTGCACTACGCATTGAGGATAATTGCTGAATTCGTCTGTAGTTATGCTACTGGTTTGCAACACAAGCATCCGGGGTTAAATTCCCTTATGTGGCTTTAAATTTGCAATATATATATATCCTCTTCGCCTGTATAATCTTTCAGACAGGATTTAAATGTATTCTCCGTGTGTCTATGCACATGAGATATATATCTGACGAATTTGCCATAAATGAAGAACACGGCCTACTTTCAGATCTATTTAACCAGATCAGACTAAATAAGACTGAGTAAACTTTAAAATACAGAAGCCGGTTATTGCGAAAAAGTTATTTTTATGACATAATGTAATTACTACTTTGAATGTATATCTCGTAGGAGTTGACGAGATTGCATTAAAAACAGGCAAACTTGATAAAAAGATGCATGTACACGTAAGCAGGTTTATAACCAAATTTGATTATCAGCATTACTCGCTCAATTAAACGTTGATATTTCTGGCTTTTTTAAACGCATTTGATCGATTGACAAACTTGTTTGGAATTCATCCTTCTCGATAAAATACTATTATATTATAAAGATAGGATTATTAGGCCCAAAAGAGTGTTACAAGAGAACATCACAATAAAGAAAAAATATTTGCTCATTGCGCACATATTCGTTAAACCGATAGTTTTAGATTCACTAAATAGAACAAAAGTCTCATATAAATAAACAAAATCCTCAAAATTCAAAAAGAAAATGATCTGACCTGTAATCAACTGTCGTTAGAAGGGTTTTGTGGCTAAGTGTAAGCATAAACCCACTGTACAGGGGATATTCACCGACCAACAAGTGAAACTTTTTTTATTATAAAGGCTACGTTTGTTTTGAACACAAACAACAGGAATCAAAAACTTATTTTACGAGCTTTCAAAAACGTCTGTTTCTTTTGTCAATCAAACAACACTTATTATTCCTACCAAACTGATGAATCTACATGTAATTCCGAAAATAAAATTAGGTTTTAACTTGTGTAATATCAGGCATCATCATTAAGGTAAACTTGTAGATACTCACTGCGAGCATGTAACACATACAAGTTAGGATTTCTTCAACGCCGTGGGGATATCAAAAATGTTGTTTATTACATGCATATTAAGAAACATTGATTATGCATTAACGTGAAGCAATGGTAGAATAAGGATTTTGATTATTTTTGGCACAGGCAATTAATTATTGACATATCTTCATGTACATAATTGATAAAACAATATCAGATAATATAAGAAATGCGTTGAATAGCCAATTCATAATGGCGCACAACCTTTTTGTCATAACGAAAACAAAATTGGCATTAACATATTGCGCCAATGATTATGCAACTCACCCCTGCCAATATTTGCAGTGACATTGTCGTCTTCTTACTTCAAATATGTAATAGATAGAAATAATACTGTTATTGTTATTGAAAATCAAATATGATTTGCTCGTGTGGCGGCATATATCGATATATCAACCTAATTGGTATTCTGTCATACTTGTTAAATATCTATAGTATTCATAGTGAAACCTTTAAACCTCAACTAAATATTTCACATGTATGACTGAGAATCCATATAATGTATTTTCTATGTTTCACAACAAAAAGAGAAAATATATAGAATTACCGATTTGAAATCTCGTTTTATTTCTTTGATAAAGATACCATCGTGTTATGGAAATGCTGGTCAAGTAGTGCAATATTTTCGCCATACAACAAAGATGTCACGCAGGTCACTTTGAATGGGGTTTTCAACGAAGTTATGCCGTTTATTGCTGCCAGTTAGTAAAATTAGCTTACAACGCATTTCATTTAGTTACATGACAATGCTTCAATGTACGTACATGTACATACACCATATTGAAAATCACATTCTTCCATTGCTCAATTTGCATCTGAACAGAAAACCTTTGGATTTAATTGCAGTGCACAAAAAATACGTTTCTACTTATCAGTATAAAGTAATAGAAAATAAATAATATTTTTTCAAAAAGATCTCAATTTAGTTTCTTTTCCCTATTTAATGTACCTCAATGATCGATATCACAAATCATTCGATATGATAATATGCTCTGATGACAACTTTACTTATCTTTTGACATAATTAAACAACACATCTATTATCATTTATGTATACTATAAAACATATTTAAAAAACAAAACACTTTTACATCATGGAATATAGGTTTGAAGTACAAAAAATACTTGGTGAAAAGTACTTTGTAAATAAATTGCAATTGCTATGAATTTGATTATTTGGAAACGAGTACTGATAACGAATATAGAGTAACCATTTCAAATGATTGTAAAGTAATTGATTATTTTCCTAATTTACCAAGTTAATAAACTTTCACAAATCCGATACATTTTAGATACCATTCTTTTCAATATTCGGTTTAAACAAGAACGATAGAATATTTATTCAGTATCTAGCTTTTACACTAAAAATGATTAAGTTAAGATAAAATTAATTTACCAAAAACATTAAAAGTCATATTTATCACAACCTAATTATAAGACGATATCAGGATTTGATATAACGGTCACTTCATGAATCTTTTTTACACAAGTTGTAAAAGAAAAGGAAGGTTATCACTTGTACAAATGTACACCAACTTATTCAGTCCAGCATATTCGTGACATTTAAACAGTGATCAATTTTACAGTTGTTGATATGATTTCAAAAGATTGGAATAAACGTATTCCACATGATTTCATGGTATACTGGCATTGTTTCTCTGTATCTCCTTTTTTGTTGCCGCGCTATTGGACTATTGTATCGTAAATGTTACGTGTCTTGTCGATTGTCGATGAATCTATACCATCATAGTCTTCCTCATGGTTGCCTGCAACAAGATAAGAGTTTGTCGATTTAACGTCAATTTTTTTTCACAATTAGAGAATCTTCAAACAAAACTTGTTTTAATAATTGTATATGTTGTTTATATTTTTTTTATAATTATGCAACCGTATTATAGTCATAATATCATGTTACTGTCCGAATAAATTATGCTCACTGCCTTGTTACATGTAAATAATAAGTACTTACGATAGGTTTGTAGTTCTTTAGGTGGTGTTTGTGTCCTGGAGTTTTGGAAACGCATCCTAAAAATAAATATAATACTTTATTTAAATTGGTGCATGTACGAATGTACCTAGTAACAGAAAGCGACAAGTTAGTTTAACATAAAGAATTATCCTGCATCAGTTTCGCGTCCAAATATATGTGTTCACAAACATTCCAGATATCAAAAGACAATGAGGGAACAAAGACAATGGCGAACACATGCTGTTCTTGTTATTCATTTCTTTTTTGTCAAACTGTCGATTAGAATTGTAATTGTCGTTTTATTGGTAATTTAGAAAAGTTTTTAGAAATATTAAAAAACAATCACAGGCATTATCCTAGATTTAGAACTTCAGAATAATTTCATTTTCAAGCACTTCCTTGGAATTATGTTTAATTACTATAAATTATCAAGCCTGAGAAGATTTATCTCGAATGTTTTAATGTAAGGTCAACAGAGTTTGTGATTTTAATTTGTATGTGTTATTTCGTATTCATGATTGTTTCTTTATAAACGGTCTTGGTTTACGTATACCTTACCTCACACAATGGATGATGAGTCCGATGTTACAGATAATGGATATAGCAAATAAAGTACCAAACAGAGCATAGCAGGTAGTACATGTTGCTTCTACCGATGTCGACACCTTCAACAAACAAATAAAACCAACTTTAAGGAAGAAGTTCCCTTTTTTCTGTAAAAAAATATATAAAAAAGATATTTCGAAAAACCGAAAATAATATTTAAAATATCGCAGACATAATTTTCTACATAATCTTACCTCAGCAATGTGTGGACACTCTGATTTACTTGATATCTGTTCTTGTGCTGTAAAAATGAGTAATTAACAATTATCGGTAAATTAGAAATTACCAATATAAGAAGTAAGCTGTCCATTTTCCCTTGTAAGTACCATTAACTAAGAATGTGAAAACCAGAAATATTATTCCATTTGTAACGACATTTTTAATCTTTTTGTATTTTCAATCGAGTGAAATTAGTTTTAACAAAATTAAATCATAGACAGTCAAAGATAAGCTAAAACGTATGTCTGACTTTCTAGTATTAGTGATAATGGAGGCAATAACACGGTTTAAAAATGCAATACACCAAGTTAAAGTATTTATAGCATCGTTATTTAAGGATTTCGTTTCAGATTTAAAGCATATTTTTTACCGTAAAATACAATAATAAAATCAGGTAGTGTAGTATATGCTCAAATAGGTCAGACAGTTTGTGAACTCCGTAACAAAAGGATGACCTTACATGGACAACGTTTCTAAATTCCTTTCATTACTTCTTTAAATATAGTAGGTGCTTTTGGTTCATATTTTTACGCCAATTGATTATGAAAATCTAATCATTTGAAAAAAAGTCCTGTGATATTACCTGTGATCAGTGAAAAAAATTTCTTTCATAGACTGAATCATTTTCAATATTTCACTAGAAAAAATGTAATAAATAATCGTACCGGCACTGCACGACGGTCCTGTCCATCCATCCTCACATCCGGGTGTTTGACATATCCCATCAGTATTTGAGCAACCGCTTATATTACAGTGACATTCATGTAGACAGTTTGGGCCGTAGTGAGTAAAGTCACAGGCTAAAATGATCACATATAATTCCCCTTAATAGAGTCAAATGAGGTTTTGAAACATTAATTAATACTACAACATAAAAAAATACGATAGAACTTAATATCTGTGAATCATATTTTGATTACACGGTTAATATCAATATCAAAATAAATGAAAGAAAAAAATGGAAATTTCAAATATAAATGCAACTAGAGGCGGATTCGAAGTGGTTTCCTTTGTTTGAAAAAAATAAAAGTATATATATACTGCAACTATCTTGTGACACCCTAAGCTCTGCTCAGTCTGCAAACGCTAACTATTATCTGCACATCAATATTTTATGCTTTAGTGGGTTTTTTTATCATAACAAGCTGATCAAGGTCCTTAGTAGCCAAAAGGTGTTGCAGTTTAAGAAAGTTTCTTTAAATGCGTTTGAACGGACAATGAACATCACATTTCAATGCTTTCAAATCTGGAAGCTTTGTGAGAAAGTTATATCAATGAATCAATATTAGCTCATTAACTCATTAACAACATACATGCAAATAAAATATCATTTATGCTACAATGTACTATATTCAAGTAGTATAATCATTTGTTAGAAACCAAACTAGGATTTTTTTCTTCAAAAAATTTAGATAAATAAACAATTGATGATATTACTTAATAATTTGATTGTTTAAATATTTAGAAATTACATACTATGATCGCAGGACTTCCCTCTCCATCCGTCCACACACCCTGTAACGTTACACGTCCCGTCTACCTTATCACACCCCTCCAACTTACAGTGACATTCGTGTAAACAGTCCTTACCGAACCGGCACGCCAAGCACTCTGTGGTGGGAAAACATGCGTTTATTGCATTTATCGATCGAACAATGCCTCAAAAAGAACCAATATACCATTATATAGTATTTATTTCATTAAGAAATAGGAAATATGTAAGATAAAAACGAAAGCAAGGAAAAGATAAAAACAGGTAAAGAATGTCCTACTCCATAACCAGTAAGTTATCATTAACGATGAGGTTATGAAGTTCTCCGCGCTAAAATATAAACATGTATCATTTGGTCTAAATTACCTGTCCCGAAGACTTTTTGCACCACATCTATAGCTGAATATTAATTCAGAATATTTTAATGAATATAAATTTATTTAAATTCAAAGAATCCCAAGGTCAACTAATTCCAAGGAAACACGGGAAACAAATGGAAAGACTTGGAATAATATGTTGATATTGGAAAATCGGTAACGCTTTTAACAGCGAAGTTAATATCAAACGGTATCCCTTCGACTGAACAAGCACATCACTTATTACCTTGACTACACGTGCCTCCTGTCCAACCTTCCGTACATCCAGGTATAGTACATGTTCCACTGATCCTATCACAACCAGAGTTAGCACAATGACAGGTCTGATTACAGTCTTGTCCAAATGTAGAGTTGACGCATTCTGCATGAAGCAAATTACCAGGATTCGAGAAGTATAAATTTGGTTCTCGTAAAAAACAGATAAGCATATTTTATTGGTTTTTGTCATGGCTGTTAGATAAGTTATATTCATTTTTCCTTACAACAGTATCGAAGATGATATCAGATTACATATGCAGCACTGCAGACTTCCAAATAAATTGTCAAAGTTTCCGTGTACCCAACCTAAATAAATATCCCTGGTTGTATATTCAATAAATACCCAAATTACAACTCGAACATGTGGGCTTTTCATCTTCACAGGCTTTAATTTACTTAGCTACAACAATATATCCAAAAGGTGAATCACTAATAAGTCTGACATAGTCATACAGTGTAGTCCTTAACAGGCAACATTTTATGATAAGATTCACGGTGTTTGCCTGTAAATCATGTATATTTGTTGTTTCGTATCATTGAAATTATTTGAAAAGGTTGCCTTGAAGAAATAATTATAGCATGGGAAAGACGAATGCAAACCAGCTTCAGGAAGCATTGAGATAAGGGTCGTGTAAAATGACTACTGTAAAAAATAAATATCCCACGAGTATTGTTAAACACCTCGTGGCATCGCGTTGAAGTTATACTAGCTTTTGAATGTTTATTTTTATTTTCCTTTGAATTTTTATCTAAATTGTGGAATATAAACGATGGAAGATTCAAAACATGCACACAGCTCTTAAGAATCATTATCAAAGTTTAGTTAACGATCATTTGCATTTTGTTCTTATATCAACCGATTATATATCTTAAACATTTATGCTTTTAAAAATGAGATGAAATGACGACCCGATACCCGTTCAAAATATAACAGAATGTCATTGGTGTGACGTCGAAGGTCAAGGTGAGGGCTGAACTAATGTCATACTCAAATAAATATCCTTTTAGTGACCAGAACGAAATCGAATTTTACACTTCACCTTGAACAGGCTTCCGTGATTCACTGTCACCATTGGACCTTATGTACTTCAGCCAAAGACTGACATCTGATAGTGCATCGGTAACAAGTACACAAACGTTCATATACAAATGTATATGGCAAAGTCATAGATTTTTTGAGAGAAACTTTTACTGTCGTTGTTTTTTAGGTACCAACATGGTTTAAACTATTCTCTTACAATACACATACTGAATATGTAAAAGAAAATCATCTAAAAATGTCAACATGATAGCTAACAAATGATAAGTGACATTTGCAACAAATGATACTCTGTCATAAAGTAAATAAAGGATTATCTATCCCCCTATTATAACCATATTTGTCGCTTTAAATGCATTACAATCTCTCTTTCGATTTATTTGTTCAAAATATAAATTTGATAAAATAATCACCAAATACAGACCAGTTCTACGTGAGCTTAAATTATACTACATTCTATTATAAAAAAGAATACACATCAATATTATGAAAGCAACACCGAAGTGGGTATCTTATATCTGCACATTTATATGTGATGGACAATATGTGTAGAAAGTTTAATAACGATTGGTGTAAGAGTTTTGACAAATTATGTAATGGTCAGTGGGATTTTTGCATACATCAACAGTCTTGATTTTATATGAATATAGATGTTTGCTAAGTATAAGTATTTCCGTCGTATTTGAGATTGGAAACCAGCACTGAACATAACATCTGTCAAACTGCATCGGATAAGTAATATATATTAGTAAGGTCTAATTGATAATGAGGATGAATCATGAAAGTTGTTCGACAACATATAAGTTCTGTAGGACATAAAAAACAAACTGATCGACAGCAAGATCTAAACCTTTCAAATTTTCCTTACTAACCTTGGTTGCATGTATTCCCTCTCCAACCGTCCTGACATCCTCTGGTGTTACAAGATCCGTTTACTATGTAACAGCCTCCAGTCTTACAGTGACACTCAGTTGAACAGTCTGGACCGAAGTATCCAGATGGGCATTCTGTTTTTTAAATGTAGTTGACTGTCACATTTGTTATCGGCTGCTAGTTTGAAAGTTATAAACCTGCTTAACCATGTAAAAATCACCTTTAACAATGTACTAAGTCCCGTTCAAAATAATTATGATTTTAGACGTAAATTTAATTTAGCCTGGGGTATCGTTTATATCCTTTTGCATGTGAATACCTTAGACGATGCCGATGTAATATATGTGTAAGCGGCATACGACTGATATTATGTTTGTTTGATTTGAATATCAAACTAGCTCAATATTAAAAAAGTAACAAACTTCAAGCTGGTTCTCGCTTTGAGGACATAATATTGCTTGGATTTTATCTATTTTAACAGAGTTTTCGTTGGCAGTTTTTTCGCATCAAAGGGGTTAAACTTGAATTTTCAGACAACCTCAATGATGTTGAATTTCCTAGTGTGTTGCCACAATATGCTTTTAAGAAATCTGTCAAAATGAGATTGATAATCTTCTTAAAAAAGGAGGTTTTACCTTGCTCTTGGGAAGGTTTACTAATCGCCCGAATCATAAATCATTGGTTATGGTATTATGTCGATGGAAAATATGAATGAAATGACAAAATTGTTTATAATGCGTTTGAAATATATATTTATATATATAAAGGAATACACATATCTGCTTCTTTACAACATGGTGTATCTAATGTATACCATGTGTTGAACAGCTGTCTCCAGTCCATCCATGCTGACATCCGGGGATGTGACACACACCTGTGTCAGGGTCACAGCCACCTGACATACAGTGACAGGTGTTACTGCAGTTTGGTCCAAAGTTTGTATGAGAACAACCTGCGAAATTGGAGATTGTACGATTTTACAAACAGCACAAAAAAGCAACATGTCAGGTAAGGAATGTTTATATTTTCAAATGATACGAACAGGGCAAAATGCTAGATTTTTTGCAGATGAGGCAGACGATTTGTACCCCTTAAAATTTGATGTGACACTCATTATGCTTGCTTTGTCTGTTACATAAACTTATCTTTTTGACTTATGACGTTATATCAGTGGCAATTAGAAAGATTTATTATTGAGCATTTCCGATTGCAAGTTTTGCTGTTATTGTTCCATATTGATATGCACAAATCTAGCGTAAATTAGACACTGTGCCAAAACATTTACTAATCATTTACTTTTTTCCTTCCACCTTCATATTTGCTTGACTTACAAAAATGTAAATACCGGCGCAATACTCATTTGTTAGCCTTGATTTGTTTCATTTCACCTAAAATACCTCCTCCATCAAGAGCCAGGGTTTAAGTCAGAGATCCACTTTGTCTTTGACCTTTGGATTCTAATTACCTTGACCTTTAAACCAGTGACCCTAATCTTTGGTCAGTTGACTTATTCTTTAATTCCGACCAACTTTGCTTCATTATACCATAACAAAATGTTCATCAGTGAAAAATACAAAACTTGCCCTTGACCTTGAACCTTTGGACCCCGTAACGACTCCTTGTTTAATTCCGACCAACATTGCTTCAAAGCGTTATAACGAAATGTTCACCAGTGAAAAGATACTATTTGACTTTGACCTTTGACCCAGTGACCTTGAACTTTGGTCTGTTGACTGTTTCTTGAACTCCGACCAACTTTGCTTCATAATGTCATAACAAAATGTTCATCAGGGAAAAGCTACAAAATTTGACCTTCAACTTTGACCCAGTAACATTTCCACTGACCCGATGACCTTGACCTTTGGTCAGTTGACTCCTAGTTTAATTCTGATCAACTTTGCTTCACCATGTCATAATAAAAATGTTCATCAGTGACAAGATGCAAAATTTGACCTGAACCTTTGAACCTTATGACCTTGACTTTTGACATTGACTTTTTGCCTCAGCGTGTATTTTTGTGAACTGAACATCTTGACCAAGTTTCATGTAAATCGGTCGATAAATACTAAAGTTATCAGACAGGATCAAAATCTGTTGACGGATGGATAGATAGATAGACAGACAGACGTACGGACAAACTTATTACTATAGGACACTCGCATCTTCCTAATAATTAAAGTTCATCAAGTAGTATTAAATAAACTTGAGCATTTGTAATAAGATGATTACAAAGTTGGCATCGAGTTTTTAAATTATCATACATTAATGTAGAACAGTAGAAAATGAAACAAAAACTCCTGTGGATCTTCCTTTTAGTACCAACACTCCCTAGCTTTGGACTAAAGTATGTTCATATAGTCTTATAAGATATACACGCTATGCTCGTCGAAAACAAATATTGTAAGCAGATGGCAGGTGAGCACTTTATATGGAAAAGACTAAATGATTTGAGAAAGCATACTGTTTAGTGTAAACATATACTGTCAACGTCACAGTTGTGCGCCCGTTATTATCGCAGTTTTTCATCCTGGCACAACTTGTCCAGGTTTTCCACAATTACACATTCAATGGGAAAATCAGAAAGTCAAAAACAAACCCTTTTTTCAAAAATCATCAAGACCATTCAATAATATGACAGAAAAAGTTTAACGAGTTTTCTTTTTTTTCGATGAATAAAAATACATTATTATGACTTCAAATTGTTTGGTCAATGTTTAAATGTTAATATATTGAACAATACAAAAGACTTTGACCTTTTCAAAATTATCATATTGTCTGGTACCATTTTTTTGCATTAATACCACAACCTATATATTATATGTCGAACTTGTGAAAATGATTTTGTTCATTATATGCTGAGCAGAAAAAAGGTAAACTATCGATTCAGAACTGTGACAAGGGATGAGTGCCAGTTTGGGTATTTTGTTTCACTGAGAAGTGATTTTTTTGTATAGATATACAATGAAATAAAGGTCAGCTTGGAGACGATTCCGAGATATGAGGGGTAAAATGGGGGACCAAAATCAAACAGTTTTCCCCATGAATGCTTGCCCTATGAGGTCCACAGGGGGCTTATATAAATGGGGGGGTTTTCTACTAAGTATTGTTACCGAATGTATGTAGAAGGGTTCCTGATATGATAACAATTATCACAAACGAGTTACATGTAATAACCTTTCTTATTTATTTATGTCTTTAATAAATGTACTAATTAATGCTGAATATACTATTCCTCAACTCTTGAATTACAATTCTCTATAAGTGCTACTATTTGCATAAACACTGTATCTGTCGTTCAATTTATTTTTTCATAATGGGACCATTAGGACCTTCAAGAAATGTGTTAATTTCAGAACGATTAAACATTTGACAACCTTGTTTTTTTCCATTAAAACAACTTTTCTTTTTCAGAGTGCAATTATTTTCTCTTGGTTTAAAAGTCGTTCCCGTTGTTAAAAACAAAATATCGTAAGCTTGTAGAAATATTTTATTATAATGAAATGATCTAGAAACAATTACTAGTATTCTGGACGTATATACATACTTTTGTTGAAGTACAAATATTATTATTAAAAAAAAAAAAAAAGCACATGTGGAAGTAAAAGCACACATCCAATAGCACCTTCTCCTTCTACTGTTATGTGCTATATGAAATATATGGTTTTCTTGACAGACGTCATCTCCTGAGTCCATTAGGGATATTATATTTTTTTGTTTGATATGAAGCTCTTGTATGATTATGCTGATACGTTTGACTTAATTATCATTACATTGGTTTAAAAACAAAAACATCTTTGAACAATTGTTTTAATTTATTTTAAGTTAGTATTGTTGGCATTTTAGTGTATTTAATTACCAGACCTTAAAGTAAATACACCTATAAATAAGCACAATGTCGATGGTCAATATAAGACCTTTCCAATTTGTATGCATCAATTCAAAACATGAATTTTCCATCGATTTACAAGCATTTGTTTTTAACATGTTTTACTGTACTCAATATATATTTACCTGCAAAATCGAAAAGGCAGAGATTTTCATGTTATCAGGATTTAGCTACCTAGTATACGATATATTTGATGCATAATTATAAGGCGTAAAACGACATCCCGATCGTGATGCCGCCCAACTTCGACATTTCCAGAGTGAGTGTAACGCAGGAATACAGTTTTTTTCCAACTTCTGTCGTTAAAAGGCTTAATGGTTATTTTTCATCCATAAGGTAGCCGTTTCTAGCTAGAAAAATGGAATATGGAAATAGAATTTTCCATTAAACAATACAATACTCACAATGTATGCACGTGTAAACGCTAAAATGACTTTTGCCTAATTTAATGTGACCACTTGAAATGTTCTGCAAAATATCTAAAATACTGAAGATGCAGCTTATTTGATGAAAAACGACCGTGATTATTATTATACATGTATACATATCCAAAGAAACATGTTTTTCATAAACACAGAGGCGTACATATAATAGTTATCTTCTAATTTGTACCTCAGAATGACTCTCCTTTCGTAAAAATCTCACACACGATTGATGGTTTCAGAGTGATAACAATCAACATTAATTACATTCAACTACGAAATGGTACAAGTTACCTTTATTGTACATGAATAAGAATATATTATTTACTTTGTAAAATGTATGATAAATGGGTGCAGAAGGAAGATTCGATTCCACCAGGGAAATATCTAAATTCAACGGGAGATCATACCTTAATTAAGGTTGACAAAATGATTACTTAAAGTTTTCAATCGATTGGCGACGTTTAACATATTCTCAGAAACTTGATAAAGCCCCGTGGTCATTGGTATACATTTTATCTGTAATAAGTCAAAAGCAAAACCTTGACTTGTTTAAAGAATGTTCAGTATAGGACTATCCTAAGAGACAAAGGATATATGTGCTATGCTTTTTGTCAAAAACAGCTAGTATTCATCATCAAAATAGCTATAATGGTTATGATTTTGACTGGAATAAAGATATCATTTTTCTGCAGGATGTTTTTCAGTAAATCTTTAAAACTTCAATAATACCATTACTTTCATTTTCTTCGGTAAGCCATTGAATTTTATTGATATATTAATTTCACCGTGTTCAAAATGTATATTTGATAGAGTGACAGTTATCGGGCGCATTAAGCATCTTTGACCGTTTCATTGACGCGTTTAAAATAATTGAATGTGTTGAACACTGCCGTAAAAATGACGGAGAGATGGCTGTGGTCGAGTGTCATAAAAGGAATGCATATGTGATTGAAATGTTATACATTATATTATAACTGAAATCGATAAATTAAATGAATATATGGAGTACTAGGCATGCATCAGTATTTAGTAAAACAACAAAAAGATTTACTTTTCACAGACGTGTTAACATTCAGATTAAAGTTAAAGTTGCAACAAAACTTCAGTTTCTCATAACGTCATTCCTAGTCGCAATTGGAAGTTCGTTATAAAGCTTAACCTTTTTTATTAAAAAGAAATAACCTGAATATAAGATAAAAAAGAAAAATCTATAACTATATGTATAGCTATCACATACTGTATATAATATATTTCCGCTCAGGGTGTGTGTGAATTGTACTGTATCTGCTTAATATCGAATGTTAAATATCCACCTTAATAAGAGGTCCCAACTAATTAATATAGTTGCTTGACTATTAGCTGCTAAGAAAATGAGAAGATACCAGTCAAACGGCCCAGTGTTACGAGTACTAGAAATTTATATTGTATGATGATATTTACCGAGTACATTGACTTCACACAGCTCTATTAAAGCATCGGTCGTCGAGTAGTACCTATCGTGATCTGGTGGTACATAATCTGCTGGTCGTTTATTGTAAATGAGGACGTATCTCCCGGTGACAGGACAGGTCCGTGATTGGTTGAATGACGGGTATCCACGGCCGTGATCATGGTAACAAAGTCGTCCGAGGTGTTCATCAATACCACCATTGGGTTGTGTCATGTGTGTATCGTTTGTGACGTATAGGTAATAACCCGAAAATCTGTAAGTATCTGTTAGATTTAATATATAAAATCCATCAGAAAACAAACATTAGATGTAGTTCAACAAAAACAGACTTCCTTAATAACGAACGTTCCAGGATAAGTTTTCATTTGTTTATAGTTTAACACGTCACTAACAAAACTTCGTTCCATAAGATTAAAAACATTAATTAAAATTTGGTTTCATATAATGAAAACATTGACACTAGTTTATCCTTATAACAAGTCATTGGACTTCAATACACCGTCCTTGGCAATATGTCATAATCTTATTGAACTTAGATTACATAAAGATTTTTTTCGTGACGTATTATGCCATGTTATTTGTTTAAATGACATCTTGTATGCTATTGTGTGACTCAATGCCTAAATAATTCAGACTGAATGAAAAGGCGAATAAATGAGTTTCCAACCCGATGTTTTATTGATGTTCTTACCAAAGAGTGAACAATAAACGAAGGCCACTTGATTATTTTTTCCAACATTTTCGATACATCTTTGATAAGAAAGGAGATCTAGATTTTACCTTTAAAAATAAGCGGTTCTTTTGAACGTGCTAACATTTGTCGCATGATGCCTATAAGTCTTTGTTTCACAAAAAGCTGTGCATTTTTATCATTTCTAACCCACTTGCCAGTTGTCATAGTGTGTCTTTTTAATCTGGTTATAATTGGAAAGCATTTTTTATTTTTATTTTCAGTCGCCTTTCAGTCTGCAGACGATAAACAATACATACTGACGTCATGTTTTATTTCAGATGTTTATTTCAATCAATCAAATACACGAATCTATCGACATCGCTCGTCAACACATGAAATCACCATTTGGCAGATTTACGAAACACTGTTTCATATCACCTTTCCCGTAAATTCAGCGGAACATTCGAATCATTAGCTTAAAATTATTTCGGTAGATCTAGGAGTAAAACAGTTTTCCGTGTTTGTCTGCTAGGTAATCATCAATTACAAAGTAAAATTAAATGCCGGTACCCGGCCTTATTTGTCAAATAATACCAGTCCCGAGACACTTTTGTTAACCGGCGAATTTGTGATTGAGGTTAATGGAAGAGCGTTGGTCTGTTCAAAAATAAATCACGTTAGCGTATGGTCTATCCTCCAATAATTCATGGTATTTAACAAACGAACAGCATCGTTACATCGGAAACAATAGAATATCCAATATCGCTAGTGGTTTAATGCCTTAGGTATACGGGTATCTCTTATACTGATGAAATCAAAGCAGTTTATATAAAGGTTACGATGAGACTTTGACGACAGACCTAAATGACATATGTTAATTCTTAAATTTAGGATCGCAGATGATATATTCTTATTGGAAATGCATCTTTTCTGAAATGTTTGACAGATATTTGTTTTAAAGATCAATGTCTCACTGCACTCATTTTTCCCTTTATACAGTAACCTACCCTTATTATACTTTTGGATTTGTCCTATCATGTGCAACCAGTTTGTGAAAAGTGAAAAAAAAAAATTTGCTAATAAGTGAATCTTATTAGTTGAGATGGTTCACATTAGAGTTAGTTTGAATAATAAGTAGTTTAAACACAGTAATTTATGAATTCAATATAGTTTTTCCTGTTTTCACATATTGGGTTGTTTTCACATATTGGCACGCTACAAAGCTCGACCAGGGCACTTCCTTTTATAGGGTATTGCAGTCAGTTAAAGCGACGGTTTAAAAACCTGATGTCAAGGGTTCGAATCCTGGTCACGATCCGCTACGGTTTGTCCTCATTAAAGTTGTTTTTTAAATAATGTACTATATAATTATGGACAAAACTGTTTCAAAAAGCATGATTACAGTTTTTGGCAGTGGTACGGTGGTACGGGTTACTTAAAAAACTGGCAACTGAATCAATGATTGTCAAAAGCGTACGAACTGGTTTTTTCCTTGAATATCAGTTATGTTTTTTGCACAAGAACAATCAGTTATATCAGTTTAAATAACTGTATTTCCACAAAAAAAAGGCCTCACACTTTCTCAAACCGTTTTATTCTACATGTATTTGCTTTCCATGAAGATGCTAATTTGTATATGACATTCATTCAAAATGTAAATGGACAATTAATGAGAACATGAGTGTGTTTATATGTTTATCCTTTGTCAGAAATTTGTTATCTATATGTGATTGGCTTACCTCTTCATGTCAATTAATCAGTATATATATATATATATCAATATATATTATGTGTGTGTCATTTCATGGGCTATTTAGCTATGTGGAATGAGGGTACTAGAATTCATGTGTATATCGAATGGTTTCCACTAACATTCTCGTTAAACTGGCACTACGTGATTACTGGTTCAAATCCAGTAACTGTGCCATTAGCTATGACAAAGATGAACACGAGGCTTAATGTGACAATTGTTTGCACGCGCAAGACAACATCCTGGTTTAATTAATATATGTCACGTTGGTTTTAAGGAACAGAAGTACACTCGTACATTTCCTGGTTGTCATACTGATATAATCAATATATGGTTGTATAACATTGTACATGTATGATGGAATAAACAAAGCGGGATTAAAAAGCAATGAAAAATAATTAACTGGGTCCGGAGCGCCTGTCGCAGTTTTTCCCAAAATATTTCTCTTCGTTGTTATATATTAAACCAATATATACGCGCACATGTTGATTGATTCTATTAAATATATAGACGACTTCAAGTTGTTTTCAAATCACGTATTCACAACGGCAGGCTTTTTTTATATTCGTATTACTTTACACAAGCGCAGTCAACCACTTTCGTTCAAGTTCTGATTAAATATTTAGACAAGGTGTTTTTTCCGATGAAGATCGTTTCATTCTTGAACAGACAATTACCAAATAGGATGCAACATTGTATTGATGCATCATAATTAATGTGTATGCCCATTAGTTATGATGATTTAAACGCAGCTACGTTATATCGATATGTACATTATTTATTAAACATATTTCACTCATAATAGCTGTAATGATAGGATGATTTAGTTTCACTGCGGATTACGACAATTCTGTCGACCAGGACCTATCGTAAAATGTTCAAAATGAATGAAAATAGCAGAAATATATCAACAGTATGACAACTCACAGTCGCGTCTATAGGTGATGTTGATTGTCTGTATCCTGTACACATCTCCTAAGTCGACCTTCCACCAGGCCTGATTGTGTCCTGTCCTTGTGTGAGAACAGTGTCCACCGCCTCCATCTCTCCCAGGGATTCCATCCACTGCTCTTCCGGCAAAATAGGAGCTGAGTGTTGAACTCTGGGTAGCGTCCTTATGTAGTGCTACGTCTCCTTTAAATCAAAGATAATACATGATTGATTGATTCAAAAATCTGTGAAGAGATTCAGGTGAGTATTTTTCATCAGCACAAATTGAAACAGCCTTTCACGGTAATATTAAATTATATAGAATTAAGTCGAGTATGATTCTCTCTAACATCCTAAGAGAAATATACAGCAATTTGATTTGTATTTGTCAACACTGTTTAATTGATTCATCATGCTAACATTTAGTAACTTTAACGGTTTATACAGCTACTCAACATTTTATTATAACAATATAACAGGTCAAAATATCACCCTAAAATAATGAATTCCTTCGTGATTTGTCACGTGTAATATGCTATAAATGTGAATCAAGCAACGATTTGATGAAACAAATCGATCAAAATAATAGATAACAGGATTGTATTTGTGTTAAGTCCTTCTAAACGATACAACATGTAAGTGGCATACATACTTACTTGATGAAACAACCAATTCTAATCCAAAACTGAAAATCAACACAGATATGAAGTGTCCAAACACCACTAGTTTAGCTGTATCCATCTTCATCTACAACGTAACTGTTAAAGTTGTCATTGTATGTTTAGTCTCCCGTTCTCTATCACAAGGAAGTTCTGTTTCGCCGTGTCATATACAGATAGCAACGAGGAAGAGTACGTTATCAGTGTGAAAGTGTTATCAGTCGTCATCAGTGTTAAAGTACATGGATAATTGTTTTCTGTTTGATGTTAAATGAGGTCCAAAGGTAGTGTACCACATTATTATCTATTTATGAATATTTATGTCATTGTTTATTTCATTCAATTGATGCAATAGGTTTAAATTGAAAGTTTTGAAATTAATATGGTAATTTTATATCGTAGAAATGCGACATATACATAAATAAGACGTCAAAACTAAATAAAAAAACAATGACTTCCATTCATCACAAACAAGATGGTGAACATATCTCTTTATAATTGGTAACCATTATCGATTTGTATTTCTTGTTGTAATGCATTTGGCAGGATGAGTAACATTCGGAAAGAATGATATGAGGGAGCATGAACAATGCAGTGAGAAACACTTCGAATAAATTCCGCACGGACTATCCATTTTAGCCCGACGGAACATATTATGCCGTGTTGTTCTCCGATAATTTATTAAGGGGATGAAACTCAAAAAATATATATCCTATATAGTACGGCCAGGTATCCTATTTGAAATTTAGAATGTAATAAATACTTCCGTATCGAATGTCCACAACTTCTTGGGAAGGAATTTTTTGAAACCGGTACAAAGTGAAACCGTGGTGATGGCCTCAAGGAAAACTAATCAAATAGTTGTATCTTAAGTAACAAGGGGCCAAGCAAAATATGCACCCTATTTCATCGATATTTCCTAATTTGTGGCTGTGAAAAGTTTCAGGTATAGCAAGTTTTCTTTCTTAGTTTGCATGACACACCAAAGAGTGCAAAACTCAAATGGCTAATTGGTGTTTCATCAGACACTATGGATTTAAAGCCGGGTACAAATTAATAAATACAAATATTTGTATTACAGTACTATTTATGGACGGATTGAAGGAACACCGATGGATGCGGTATTCCATAGAGGAAGACTGTGTGTTTTGTGTTTGGTGTGTTTTGTTCGGGGATGAGGTTTGACAGCCGATGCCCGACTAGGTAAATTTGTCATTGTTGGTAAAACGCCATGAAAATTCAGATTACCATCAACTGCTACAGGCAATTACAGAATGTAAAGTAGTCATTCAAATGCTTAGGAACGAACGGGCCGATGAAGCAGTTTGGGATACGATTTATGAAGAGGCAGTAGTTCTGACTGCAAAGTTTGACGTGGCACCCACAGCCGGAAGAAGGCCAGAACGACAGCAGAACCGCGCCAATCCACCAATTGATGATCCTAAGCAATATTTGAAAGTCACCCTCTACTTTGCATTCCTTTTGTCAGAATTGGAGCCCAGTCTTCTTGATAGCGGGGGGCGTTTCATAGCGGAATCACTTCTGCCCGCTAGACTTGCGAGGGAACTGAACCGAGATGTCGTTCAGGATATATACTATGCCTATATATATTCCGCCGACCTCACAGAAACCGATACGTATCGACTGGAGATAGAACGCTGGAAGGTTTGGTGGTCAATGTTACCGAAGACGCAGCGGCCGAATGACATAAAACTGTGCCTAACGCAGGTCGATCATCAAATATACTCTAGTATGACGAGTGTGTTTTTGTTGCTCCACATTATGCAATTGTCAACAGCAACCACAGAGAGATCATTCAACAGCATGAAACGAGTTAAGACATACCTGCGCGCTTCCATGACAACAGATCGCTTGTCATCGCTGGCAACACTGCATGTTCACAGGGACGAAGATGTGAATGTTGACAACATTATAGAATCATTTGCACATGCAAATTCAGGGAAAAGACTCGTGAGATATACATGAATCCCCGATAACCCATCAACCACTACAACGCGTTCAAATAAAACGCAATTGATAAAATATTGCTGTTATGTTATGTCTATACATACTGACAAATCTCGAAAGATTATAAGATCATTGTATGCCCAGGGGTGTAGGATAGGGAAATTCCACCCTCGGGGTTTCAAATTTGGAAAACCCAAGGCTTTGCCGAGGGTTTTGCCAAATTTGAAAACCCCGAGGGTGGAATTTCCCTATCCTACACCCCTGGACATGAAAGAGTCTTATAATCTTCCCACGTCACAGATGTGCGAGATCTTGTGCGTACGAGTGCATCCACTGGATAGATTGTAGGACCGCACAATAAAACAAATGTCAGATAACAACCGTGTGAGGTACATTTTTGAGAATATACTTACAATTATCTTATATACAGATAGCATTATCATGGCCCAGATTCGAAGAATGCGTTAATACAATCACCGTTGTTCTACCATTTAATCGTATGCCCTGCAGAACAACACACAAACTTGTTTAGTTAAACGAAATCGAGTCATGAGTTCCGTTGGAAATCTCTTTTGTGTGAAGTAAATAATACAGCTCTACCGGCGATTTGAATGGCGACGTCATATGCTAATTAAAAATACATAGAACGTCTAAAATTGTGACACATATAGAAACAATCGTCATAATGTTTTTCTTCTTTACCTTGGTACAATTAAACTTTTAAGAAAAACAAAACGTTTGAAATAAGATATCATGTGAATTATAAATCAAGACAAGTTATGATGTATATGCTGCAATTGGTAAGACATTCTCGAATTTCACTATAGTCAAACTGGAAATGATCTACGTCAGAGTACGACAGTCAATCAGTTTGCTAAAATTACTATAGTAACATTTTCATCATTATTGTTGACAATTGTAGATGTTTCGCCAACAATACAGTGACGTCAGGTCAATAATACATCGAACCTGTAACGCCAACATTGCATTATGAAAATGACAAGGTCAACAGGGTTAGTGAAAACGAGTCATACACCCCTCTGAAGTAGGATGTGGAATCTCACTTCTTGAGGAAATATTTTTAAGTTGCCAAGCTCTCGGCAAGCATCGTGTTTGGCAATTTCAGAATCTTCCTAATTACATTGTAAGTTGAGTTTTTTGTCTTTTCTCCAGGAGAGTGAAAGATTATTATTGTCTTACCATGCACATGCGTATCCACACTTTTTCCCCATGTGTCCTTGTCTCACCCTAAGATTGAGACGGGAGAAATCCTCATTCATACAAATTGTATGACGCCAAGTCAACAATGCATTATGTATAGATAGGATAAACAGGGTAAGAAAACAGAATCCTTCACCTCCTTCATGTGAGAATGTGAATCGCATTCCTCGGGGAGAGCTTCTTAAGTTCCTAAACACTCTAGAAATCCTCGTGTTTAGCAACTTAAGAATCCTCTCACCCTAATGGAGGAGAAATATATGAATATATTCATCTCGACATAAGATTTTTTCAACAGTGGTTTAGATTACCCGGCTAACGCCAAGGGGATGAATGATTCTTTTTCTCTCACCTTGTCCACCCTGTCATATACAAAATAAATGTTGACGTTACTGACTCAATGCATTGTTGGTGTGACGTTAATGCATTGTTAACGTGAAGTTATTGAACTGTCATCCAATTGTCTTTACTAGGGAGTCCCTCCTTCTCAACCCTACGATAAGACTAACGATATCTCACACCGGGAAATGTATGGATACATCTGTCAAGGGTAAGAGGAAGAAATGTCTTACACCTTACACTCCGTTCCTACACTGGAGAGTTCACTCGTATACTCACAGGGATGAGAGAATAATGCAGACTTGGTGTCTTTAACTGTATCAAATAACAATAAGCTTGCGTTAACTTTACGTGTAAGTATAAGATAGATATGTAATTATAATAAAGTTTTTGAAAATTCCAATTAAATACTTAATACCAATGATGTCATAAACGACCTTACTAAACACTTGAACGTTACATAACTCCACCACAGCGTCCTCTGGTGAGTAATGTGATGGGGAATTAGCAAGTGAGGACGACCGGTTGTTGTACACAATGACGTATCGCCCAGTTACAGAACACTGATGCGACTGACGATACGATGTAGGACCAACAGATGTCGTCGTGGTGTCATGGTAACATAGGTGTGGTATTGTGACTTATTGGACTGCTCGACACGTACAGATAATATCCAGACACTATGAACTTGTCTAAAAAAAATGATGAAATCATATTGGTTTTCAAAAAGATATATAAATGTGCAATGGCTGCTAGTAAACACAAACTATTTTATGACCAGAAAAAAAAATTAATATTAATAAACAGAATTTAATTTGCTCAGTTTGAATGCAATACAAGTGAATGATTATATGTTGTAGCGTGAAGATGTAAAATCATAACGAAAATGAAGGGTTATAGACACCTTTCCTGTTGTGCTGTAAAAATATTTATCACATGCCAACACTCTTTTTTTAATAATTCAAATTACGTAACATAATGTAAATGACGTCTTTAAATAAAACGGCCATCAACTTGATTATTTATAAGTTCTGCTAATATGTAGTATTCAGATATGCTTGACACCATAGCAAAACGCAACGCAGTGTGTCAAAAGACTGCAGTTGAAATAATAAATAGCACATCATCATGACATGTTCCACAGAATCAACGTAGAACGGTTTACCATCATAGCTAATAAACAGTACTACAATTGCCATCATATTGTTTGGTTCAAGTACATGAATTAATGTCCTACCCTTATTTTTTACTGTTCAAGATTATCTTGGTATATATAAGATAACATATGTGCTTTCAAAATTGCCTTCAAATCGAGTTAGTCACATCATGTATTTCAAATCAAAATAATAGCATTCCGCCGATACACCTAAGTTTCAATAACATCACATTTTGCGAAGGGTAATTAACTGTATCTATGCTTCTGATATTGTAATAGGTGTTAGGTAGCCACATATGAGCCAGTTCATTGAAATTGCAGACATTTATTCTTTGTGTCATCATCATATAATTTATAACCACAAAAATGTAACCAGCTATTAGATCATTGGTCTACAAAACGATGTTTTATACTTACGTTGATGCTTGAAGACTATTTTTATGGTGTTAATCTTGTGTGCTTGTCCCAGATTAATCATATTCCATGCTCCCTCCATGTGTTGGGATATGTATGGGAACAGCTGTGCTCTCCAGGATAACCGTCTACCGCTTCGTTAGCGTCCCACTCACTATTACTGTTTACAGAACTTTGGTTGACAGATCGTTGATAAGCCAAGTCACCTGGTTTAGTAGATAATTAATAAATCTAAATTTTGAAATTTCAGCTGTACTTATTTTGATTTTGAACGAGTAATATAGTGCTGCAACATATACACATAGCTTAAATACAGTTATGTTGATATCATCTTGATTGATTATCAATGCAAACATGTCCTACTCGTGGAAAATGTACAAAACGGGTTAACGGTTGAAATAAGATTACACCTATTTTGTTATTGAATGTGTATGCTGAATGTGATTTTGTAAAGCACACAAATTTCAGTTAACTCGTCAACAAAGCAGTAAACATAATTCGTTGATAAATATTCTGATCATCAAAATTACAATGAAAGTTATATTCGTTATTTATAATATATTTGTTGCTAAACCCGTAAGTATCTTCCGGTCCGGTTTATACACCTATGGTATTATAAGTGTTCCTTCCCATTCGCTAAACGATTTTTTTTTCTTTTGGCAATATCAAAGGTGAACAAGAATCCCAATGATTTAACATGTTTGGCAAAAGCCTACTGCAGATACTCATTCACTGGTTAAACTGTATACCGGTATATGGAGTTCAAATTAAAGTCAATGTTATTAAGAGGATATTTTTATGCCGATTATGCTAAAATATATAACGCAGTTTTGGTATATAAACTATTGCGGGTTAAAGTATTTTAATAAAACAAAACCTACACATCGTTCTACAGCACAATTTTATTCATTTACAAACGTTATCATCTCTATAACTATCACCCATTAGGGTACTTCAAATGTATCGGTGTTGCAATGATGAAAGGCAGATTGAAGATGTGCATTAGTTTGTCAATTAATGTTTTGTAACAAAAAACATTGCACCACATATGTAGGTAAGTAATACGGTAAAATCGTATGTAAATCTTTTAAACTTTTAACTTTTTCATAAGTGATGGGAATTCCTTTGATTATGTCTATCAAATGGGCTTAGAGTTATGAAATACATACCTGAGAAACACTCTTTTATACAGGTTTGCCTCTTTCCTTCTATGAAATACCTAATTATTAAAGTAATCAATCATATCAATATCTATTTGATTTGTTCTTGTAATATATATTTAGTATTGACGTTTTAATATAGAGAAAAAAATTGAAAGGGTTCCTGCTATCGTATTTTATTCGCGAGTGCAAAACCGAGAAAAATGTCGGCATATTCTGCAATACAAGTGAATAGTATAAGGTTCTCAACGAAAAACCATTGATTCTTAGTATTTGTTGCCTTTTGCAAATGAAACGCCGAAAATATCGCTGCTTCAAAACATGGTTTATTTTATAGCGGTTTTTTTACCTAAAAACGTCAATACGTCTGTGTGCTATTTTGAAAATGTTACTTAACGTACTTATCACGTTTGCTGCCACATATTGTATTCGCCAATATTCTATTGTAGACTTCCATACAAATATTATATCAGTTGTGTGGGTACGTAAATACCTAATTAAATGTATGTTTCTAGTACAGTCGCTTCATCTGTATCTCGAACTGAAAATCTACAGGTTTGAATGAAGTGAAAAGAACCTACCGCTCTGATTGGTCGATACTAAAAGTGAGGTCATCACCTGTGGCGATACAAAATCTTGTATGTCTTCACTGCAGTGAGCAAATGGATAATTTTTGATATCCCACAGGTGCAAATTTTATAAATTTATGTATAATACCTCGACTTTACAAATAAAATATAAATTATATAAGTTCAATTAAAAAACATCAACTATTGAAAAAAGTCAGTTTCATCTGATTACTTACCTGGTCTATTTAACCCATTTAATGCTATCGTTCACCTCGATCAGGCCTTTTTTTTCAATTACACATATTGAACAGAATTTTTTACTGTTCAATATTTTTTTACTGTTCAATATTTATTTTCTCGCATTTAAAGCTACAACTTACTTGCTGCTACATAACAGTTGGGTCCTGTCCAGCCCGTCTGACACCCAGCTACATCACACTGACCCGTGTCAGGATCACAACCCCTTTTTGCACAGTAACAGGTGAAGCTGCAATCATCTCCAAATCGACCGACAGAACATCCTAATAAGAATAAAAACTCAGCCTTAAACTAACTGTTTAATAATTTAAACGTTCAAATCATCCTTGGACGACTTGTTAAAGTATGGATCTACATGTTAAGGCATCAACACTAGATAGGATGATAGAATTATTTTTAAAAAAAATCTCAATCTTTAATCTCAAAGAAGAGTATTGCGATGAGGGTCAGACTATATACCAATGTTCACAAGGAATTTAATGATCCTATTCGTATATTCAGAATTTAAAACAGATAAAAAGGGGGATACGCATCTTCATTACCATCATCACAGTAACAGGCCGGAGATAAACAAATACCTACGCGAAAGAGATCACTTTTAAGACCACTACATTCATGTCTGATTCCTGCTTAAAGGACCGAAAGATGTCGGTTCCAGGCATTCAAATATGCTGGTTAAACGCGTGGCATGGGCGATACTTACATATTTAAAGCAGAAGTGAATACAATGTTTTGCACATAATTATCAAGTTATTCCAGAGTTTTTTGCAGAGGGGATAAATGACTTTTTGAACACATCTTATTTACATTTTGGCATTTGGTAGTTATCTGGGTTACAAAGATCATGATGACGATCATTTCTTTTGAAAGGAAGCAAAAAATGGAGATATTCGGGATTTGATTTGTAATGAATCTTATAAAAGGTAGAAAAGTTAGATTGTTGTCTTCTAGATTTAAAAGGAACCCATCCCGTTGCAAGATAAGTGCCTCAGAAGAGGCTAAAAAGAAAAGACCAGACACCACTCGGGCAGCTTCTAGTTGTTCTCTTTCCAAGGCATTTGACAGTTCATCATAACAAACATCCGGGACACATGATACATATTCAAGAATTGGTCTAATAAAGGATGTAAATATTGTGCTTTATGTTTTCTGACTTACTTTATATTTCAATTGGTTAAGGGCGGTTACTTTGGAAGAGGCTGATTTGATAATTTGTTTAACATGATCATGCCATTTACAATGACTACTGAGCCAGCGGTTCATTGTTACAAGTTAGGTTGGGTTTAATGTCTAGTTGTTTAGTAGAGAAGATAATTACTTCTGTCATTGCTGGATTACACTGCATTAGTCATTGATCAGACCAATCCTGTAAGCGTATTGAATTTCATGATTACGGTTCAGTTCTATAACATGTAAGTCAGTTGAAGACTACTGAAGAGAGGAATAATCAGCAAAGAGTCTGATGAAAGTTTACATAGATATCGACAAGATCATTACTATAGAATAGAAATAGTAAATGACCGAGAACAGATCCTTGCGGTACACCAGCAGTTACATTTTTAAGAGATCAAAACAGTTTGATGGCGATTAGACAACTAACTAAAGAGCCAGGAAAGTAAGTTACCCCTAATACCATACTGATGGAGTTAAAATAACAATCATTTAAGCTAAACTTTATCAAATGTCTAGGAAAGGTCACAAAACATAACATACGAATGTTCTTTCCTGTCAATGGCGGAAACAATGTTATGAAATAGTTCAACCAGTTGATTAACTGTCGAATGACCTGGTAAACCTCCAGACTGATATTTGTAAAATATATCATTGTCTCTTGAAAAATTGAATACATGTTGGAAAATACATCTTCCCATTACCCTGGACACAAAACTTAATAGTGAAATCAGTCTGTAATTCACCGGTAGGTGACGATAACCTTTCTTAAATAGAGGTAAAACGTGTGCTATTTTCCATTCGAAAGGAAATGAACATTCACGGACAAAACAATTTAACAGCATCGCGAGGGAAAAGAAAGTGACCTTGCCGTAGCTTTAAGCATGTGGTGACTAATTTTATCAGGCCCAACTGCTTTTCCAATATCGAGAACAGATAAAATATCAAATACATCTTTTTCACTTATAATAATACTCGCACATTTTATTGCGAAGCCTGGTAAATTTGCATTGGAATCATCAATACTAGAGATGGAAGAAAAGTGGTGCTTAAACACTTCAGTTTTTTCTCTGTCACTCTATGCCACTTTTGGAACTCCAGATTCAACCTAATTAAGAGGAGGAAGTAATTGTTGATAGCAGTACATAAAACTTTCGAGGATTTTCCAGAAAAATTAACATGCAACTCGAGATTACTACATTTTAGCTTGTTTTTTCATATGGTTAACTGTATTCCTAATCTTCTTAAAAGTATTCCAATCAGATATATGTCCTGAATTGTATGCCTTTTTCTGAGTCTATCACGTTTACGACAATGCTTGCGTAAAGTCGAGTCAAATCATGGGTAATCTGATGGGCTAATTGTCACTTCATAAATTAGAATGCAAATGCTCAGTAATTCAAGAAATTGTTTTGTAAAATTGTTAGTAGTTGAGTCAATAGAAGGAGCAGCTAGTACAGTTGTTTGCCAATTAAAAAAAAAATGTTAGAAAGATTATTAAGGTTAAAACAATCTGCATTTATAAAATTCCATAAATGCCTCTTAAAGGCATACTTGCAATTGTACGAAAATTTCATAGAAATGTAATTAGCTTTATGATCGCTTATCACGACATCCAACTCAAACACACCACTATCGAGACATATGTAATGTTATTAGAAATGAAAATAGGATCTAGTAGTGTGGCTGAAGTAACACGAAAAGGTTCAAAAATAATATTAAGAAGTTTATAATTAAGAATCAAAATTTCAAGATTCTAATTAGGACGTTTGAGGTTAACATTAAAATCACCAAAAATAACTATTTCAGAACTATAATTCGAAAAAAGATTCAAGAGACCACTTGAATTTACGATCAAAATCATTAGGAGAATTAGGCGGTCTGTAAAAAAGACCTAACATGATACTTTTATTATAACACTGTACTTCCACCCAGAGTCATTCAGTGGATACAGGTTCAAACTCGTGCTTCCTAGAAGATGCTTTTAATGTATCAGAGAAAAATATAAGTACACCACCGCCGTGGTCATTCATGTCATTATGGGAAAATAGTGAGAATCCAGGAATATTTAACTGATCATTTATGACTGAGACGTCAAGATGTTTTTCAGTAAAGCACAAAATATTAAAGCCTGTATTAAAACTGTCTAAATTGCTTAACTTATTTTTCATACTTCTAATGTTTAGATGAAGAACACTTAAATCGAATTTTAATCGACCAGGATAAGTCTCGATAGTAGTATAATACATAGAAACTGAAAATCAGCACTCGAGTAGTGTATTATTCATGATAATCAGAAGGCAGAAAATAATTAAATATATGGTTATATAACCAGTAATGTTTATATTGTAATAATATTGATTTTGAATGAAGAGGTGGATAGACAAATGAATGATTGTACATGACGTCGATCGACTTGCAACAGTAAAATCTCGTATGTTAATGATAGGGGGTTGAATCAACTATATTACTTATGGGGAGTGAAATCTCGTATGTTAATGATAGGGGGGTTGAATCAGGTATATTACTTATGGGGAATGAAATCTCGTATGTTAATGATAGGGGTAGGAATCAGGTATGATACTGATAGGGAGTGACATATCGTATGTTACTGGTAGGAAGTGTAAGTTGGTATTCTAGTGTTGTAAACTGTAAGTCGATCCCCGAATTCATACGCATGAATATTCAGAGAAAGTGTTTTTGCTCCTTCCCACACAACTCCAACAACCCAGGTGGAGTATAAATTGGTCTGGGGTGGATGTTGCGGTATCTGTGCTGTAGCATTAAAGTGAGGTGGCACTATAAATGATGCCGTTGGAAGCACAATCCCACTAAAAACTAGAACACATTACATCTCAAGCACACACGAAGGTATACACACATATTGAGATATCAGCCAGGTGGCATAGGACCAGTAGTTGGCGCCTAATATGGCAGCTCCTGCGAATTCCTCAAAGTTGTATTGATAAATGCATATGCTTATTTTATAAATTGTATATCCATGTACTGTAAAGCACTTTAGAGTGGTTTATGTTAGATAGATAGGGCGCTATATCAAATGCTGTGTATTCTTTTAATTATTATGGAAAATGTTTATTGATATGTTACTGATGGGAAGTTGAATCTGGTATGTTACTGATGGGAAGTGTAAATTGATATGTTACTGATGGGAAGTGCAAATTGATATATTATTGATGGGAAGTGTAAATTGATATATTACTGATGGGAAGTGTAAATTGGTATGTTTGTGATGGGAAGTTGAATCTGGTATATTACTGGTGGGAGGTGTTAATTGGTATGTTACTGATGGGAAGTTAAATCTGGTATGTTACTGGTGGGAAATGTAAATTGGTATGTTACTGATGGAAAGTGTAAATTGATATATTACTGATGGGAAGTGTAAATTGGTATGTTACTGATGGGAAGTTATATCTGGTATGTTACTGGTGGGAAATGTAAATTGTAATGTTACTGATGGGAAGGTAAATCTGGTATGTTACTGGTGGGAAATGTAAATTGGTATGTTACTGATGGAAAGTGTAAATTGATATATTACTGATGGGAATTGTAAATTTGTATGTTACTGATGGGAGGTGTAAATTGGTATGGTACTGATGGGAAGTGTAAATTGGTATGTTTGTGATGGGAAGTTGAATCTGGTATGTTACTGGTGGGAAGTGTTCATTGGTATGTTACTGATGGGAAGTTAAATCAGGTATGTTACTGGTGGGAAATGTAAGCTGGTGTGTTACTGATGGGAAGTGTAAGTTGGTATGTTACTGATGGAAAGTGTAAGCTGGTGTGTTACTGATGGAAAGTGTAAGTAGGTATGTTCCTGATGGGATGTGTAAGTTGGTGTGTTACTGATAAAAAGTGTAAGTTGGTACATGTATGTTACTGACGGGATGTTGATTCTGGTACATTGTATGTTACTCACGGGAAGTGTAACAATGTTATACTGGTGGAAGAATCATTAATGTTCCAAGTTTCCATATTTGCATACATACTTACTTGAAGAATAAACATGGAAATGTCCAAAACAGAGCAGGATGAGAGCCGTTAACATTCCACACATTTGTAATTTGACGAATTCCAGCATGCTCCTCTGGCTGTCTAACAGTTGTTATTTTACCCCGAAAACACTGTACTACGTATACCTTTCCACACGGAAGTTGTATTACTCAGTATCGCTGTGCATGTCACTGATAACGGCCATGGAAACAATGTTAGTATGGTGTACCCGTTATCGTGTGTTTTAAGAATCAATATGCCCTACCTATATTGTAAGGACAGCACAGATTTCTACACCGTGATTAATCTTTTTTTCATTACATTCAGAGTTGATCTCAGTGATCTTGAGCTGTTAAAAACGTTGTGTGCATACATGTAATAACACTAAAGGTAATGAATGCAAAGCTTATTTAATATTACCGATCACACGGTCCCCGTCTCTTCTATTTAAATTTTATTTGTTTTATAATAACTATGAAAAAAGTTTATCTACTTATAATTATCTTTTTGTTGGATTCGGATGGATGCTATAGATGTCATAATGTGGAAGGAAACCGGAATACCCGAGAACGTTAAGTTTTTACCAGTTCACGTCTGAGTGCGGACACCCACCATCTAATTAGTGAACGATGAGTGCACTATCCACTGCGTCAACCTGACTTCCAGGTTTTATAATTGTATATCGTTTTAAAGTTTTATCGGCATATCGTATTACAAATGTGGTTTCGCATGGCCACAACCATCTTGATTTTTAGCCGGTAGGCATTGGCTGTAACATTTGTACAATAAAGGATAAAAAGGGGGTAGTGAGCGGCTGGAAAAATCTAGCCATTTGTTGTGTCGTTTTGTGTTAATAAAATAAATTATATGTTCATTGGGATTGAATGGGTTTTTTCATGTACATTGCGGCGATGAATAGCAGTAGCTGATCTACATATTCTGTTGAGCTCGTAAGCGCTCCTCAGAAGATATCTAGATCAGCTACTCATATTAAATCAAGATGTGTGTTTTGTAAGAAAGCAGGTAACGGCATGACGCAGGCAGTAGTAATGAAAATTAAATCCTTTCAAAATTTGTTGGTAATGAATTCGAGTGTACGATCCTGTGTTACATACAGCAGCTTAATTGTTTTAAATTCATAGAAATAACGCGAAATTAGCATTTTGTTGAGTCTGTATCGTGAAATGCGTGTATCGATAGCACTAACCTTGAATTCGACTGTTTACATTAATCTATTCTTAGACACAGCATTCCGATAGAGCTACCTGTATAAAAATACCTGAAGACACACCATAACAGTACACGGCCTTCCATTTTTGAAAGTTGATCTTATTTGATGGGTTTTTTTCGCATTCAATACCGCATATTTTATATTTTGAAAACGTTTATGTCCGCACTATTTTAAATCATCGGTCACCATAGTAACCATCCAGGACTCCCGTCGGCAGTAGGCATAGAGCTCATTGAAGTTAAATGAACAGCCGTTGAATTACTGTTTGCCAAAAAAACTGCAGATGAAGTGTCCTGTTTCATTATCGAGTTCTGGGTTTAATGTGCAAGTTTATGTCACGGGGATTACGCAGCCGGACGTTTGGGTGTTAGAAAGTTTGTGACCACGAGGAACTATTGCGAGTCGGAAGTCAGTATTTAATTTGACAGTGTTATAAAATAAAAATCAATTTCAAATTAACAACAATAAAAATAATAGTATAATGGGGCATCATTTATGATTTTATAATGTTTATTATCCAACTACGTTATCTCGGAGAAGAGGAGATGACTCTTCTCAGAAACGCTACTATGTGTAGTAATATGAAGTGATCATTGTGTGTGAAATCAGCTGACTGGTTGCACAATAATCGTTGTATTCATAGTGTATTCGTGGTCTAATGGCAGTTGTTTTCAATTGATAGATTCATGTACAGACCAAACTTCAAGAATGTAAATATACAGACATTTAACGCATTATCACAGGTTAAACTGAATTGTCTATGAAGTAATAAAGTAATATCAAATCATAGTGAATACACTTTTGTGTTAGGAATATAATCGAATGTAAAATATCGCAATATTTCCTCAATAATGCAATATACTGCATTAAAAAAATGCTTGCAATACCCATCCCATCAGTGGTCTCTTTTGTTACCGGTTTCCGCTCAACAACAAACGTAAATGTCCATTGTGCGATGTGTGAAGGTACATTAATTTTGAACAGTCATTGCAGTGTTCATTTCCTGTTAATTTTGTGTTTAACCAGCCTCTCACCGGCCCATCAAAATTGTTGCTGTCAAGCATTGCAAAAAGGTAGATTACCTCCCCCTTCACCGGTCACTCAAAGTTACACATTGTTTTGTTATTGCTCGCAAACATGAATTAATTTTAAAAAGATTTTTTTATTTCTGGGTTTGGCAAATTTTCCTTTCCGTTGGTGATTTGCCTTTACCAACCATTGTAAAATATGTAATGTCTCAAACGTCATTGTCGTGTCATGTCAAGTTGTGTCCCGTTTTCGCTTTAACTTTATTATAAGTACACAATTCAGACCACATGAAAGCAAATCCGAAAAATAATCTGCTTATTTTTCAAAAAAATGATATCAACATTTTTCCTGCATTTTTCAGAAAATGCCTCACTGAAGAACACTTATTATAACTGATACCAATGTCGTCAGTGTTATAATAAGTGATCGTATAAGAAAAACAAATGAAACCAAGAATGAAATATTTTTAGATGAATATTTTATTACGAAAATTGTGTTGAATTTTACAATACTTCGTGGTCAATTCTCACACTAATGGGATATTTTTACGTTTATTGAACAGAAATTTCACATAATACATTTAATTTGAAAATAAAAAGTTAAACATGGGTATTAGGAAACTACCATATTTTACTTTTTATTATATAATATGTACTGTAAATAATTAACGACAGTATGGCTCCATATCACCGATAGGTATATTATAATTGTAGATATTAAATCTATTTGGTCCTTTAATATGATATATCAAAACATAATAAAATACAACAATTTAACTAGTTTATGTACATATAGACTAAAGTAACATTCACAAACTGCCATGATTAATACATATCAAAATAAATGGCCCGTCATTGCTCAATAATAGACTACTGTATAACTGCTGCCAATTGACTTTAACACTTTCAAAATAAGATTTTTTCACTTGGTAATCTGGAAAAAATACAGAATAAATTTTAAAGCGATTTTAGGGGAAATATATCACCATTTCAATTAAATGCAGTGGTCGACAAGGAATCGCAATTGCACCTTATATCTTTATACTTTGTGGTAATATAACTTAAAAACTTAGAAACTATCGGGAATAAATATCGATGGGTGTCAATTATTCTTTCACAATATGCTCATGACACTTCCTTTATATTTGATAGATTCAAACGATCATTAAAAAAAACAATCAAATAACTTAACAAATCTTAACAAATATCAGGAGTGAAATCATATATGATAAAAAATATACAACACAGAGTACAGAGATGAAATACTTCTACCAAACTTTTCTCTAAAGTGTGTGTGGGGGGGGGGGGTAACCAACGCTCTGAAGAATCGAGTTTAACGTAGACCTTTGCAAAAGAACAGGGCTTAAGTAAACTAATTACGCTCTAACCTCTTATTAATGCTTGGAGCAGACGAACTCTTGCTCCTATTGGAAGAATAAGCATAATGAAATACCGGTAATATCTCAACTATATCTCTTTTTCATTTCATACCAAATCCTAATGACAATTGTACTATTTTTTGATTTCCAATAGAATTGAAAACCAATGAAATAAAGAGAGACATGTCTTTATCAAAACGTATATGTAAGGGGTCTCAAAATGACAAATATAGCATCATTCATAAACGCCTTGAAAGAAGGATGGATAAGGAGAATTTCAAAATCAACAGGTAAATGTGTTACCATACCAGAACACTGAAATAAATATAAACTGCTTAGCAAACAGTGAAAATCAGTAGTTGCAGGTATCTATAGATTTTAACTAAGATTTGTCCAGCGGGGTGTGCACAGTACATGGAACAAATTAAGAGGGGAAAGGAAAAGCAACAGGGAAAGGGTGGTTCAATTCAAATACACACCTATAAACACATAACAAAGGTATAATAATTGAAGGTAACAGTTCAGTACCAGAGCTGGGCCCGTATTCATGAACCTGTTCTCATACCCAGACATGGAATCTGTGCTTGGAAGTGTAAGCGGTTTTACGTCTCCTTTTATTTCCAAATTAATGACAAAATGCGTTTTGTAGTAATTTATCACCTGAAAAAGAATATGGGCTTTAGCACAGAATCTGAGTTTGAGCATGAGAACCGTTTCGTGAATACAAGCTCTGGTATTATAACGAGATCCTGACGGTTTACTAATTATTATAGGAGTTCGACCTGATTTGATTTTACATCTATAATGAATTTGTGTATAGTTAAAAAACATACAGTACATCGTAATGGGTAGCTCTCTGTCTCATCTAATTATCCCGTCACATCTGGAAATGATTATTTAACAAAGAAAAGACATCATAAAATTTCTAACAAGTATTGATTAAAAATAAATGTAACATTATATAACACCAAAATGGTATAAAATGTTCAGTAGCAATGAAGGTACTCGAAGAAAAATACAATCTCCATTTGTGTGCGTCTATAAGTTCAATAGCTACAGTCAGGGCTCACCCTGGACCTGAAAATTCAGTAGCCAAAAAAGTAGCCATGTTTGAATTTCAGTAGCCAATTTTTTTTAAACAGTGGCCATACTTTCTCGGCCTCCAACCGTAACGGATAGGCCCTACATTAAAATCATTAAATATTTAATATTTTTTGAAGTGCAATACTATTCAACATGATGTTGAATTAAGGAGTACTCTGTTAAATTAAAATTTTGTTATGCATCATGTTTACAATTTAATCCATAATTAGATATATTTTTAATACTTTCAGATTATATGGCTGTAATTTTAAGAAAATATGACTGAAATTAAAAATGCTGAAAATTTCCACCAGAACTTTTTTTATTTTATTTTTAAAAGTGAGAAAAATCAGACTTTATCTCATTTTCTTGACACAGGAATTGTGAAAAAATCTAGCTTGAAAAGTTTAAATTTTAAGATATTATTCGCCTTAAATTCCGTGCCTTCGAAGTATCAAACTAATAAAATCCAAATCAAAAGTAGCCCCAGTGATGCAATATTGATAATTATTTTTCCTGTGTTTACATTCACCGTTATTCATGTTTTATGTAAAAAAGTACATATATTTTTAAAAATATCACACATTTCAAATGCAAATGGCAGTAGAACATATTTGAAAGGAAAAGGATGAATTTATAACGTTATTGACCAATCCTTCGAAATAAATCGCGACATCACGTCGCGCTACTTGGCCATTCCCCGTGCACGTGTCGTCGATTGGCACCTTATACAAGCGACCGTCGAAGTCATTCTGAACGGTCTGCTGTTCTAAAAACTGCATAACTGCGATGCTTAATATTTTTTTTGATCACTTGAAAACAGTGTATATTCAAACATAACATTTTAACAACAAACTATTTTAAAATACAATTGGACATACAAATAACTAATTTATAGAAAGAAAGAAAAAACCAGAAACAATCATAGATATGGTAATGTAATGAAGTTTAAAACTTTCTGGAAAATTTATAAATACTTTTAAATGCTCCCGCTATAGCATTTCAGTTATATGTCAATAGGAAGTATACACTGTTTGATATAGTTGGCCAAATAGGAACATGTTTTACAGAATAGACAATTAAAACTTTGATTCTGAAGTTATGCATTTACAATACAGGTAGATTACATTATCGTCTTTCAATAGAAACCATGGTTAAGGATCATTACGTAGTACAAAAATATACTTCTTAAGGTAAAGGGGAGCTATGGCCTCAAAAAAATACAATTGATAAGGAAAATGAGGAATAGCTTGTTGAAATACCTGAGTAAAACAATTATCTGTTGACAAGTCTTGAACTATAACCACACACAGCGGTAGTACCTTACAATTTGTATTTTGCCATACTACAGCTATCGACCCNATCCTGTAGTGCTCGTGCTTCAATAGCATTTTTTGTTTCGTTTCTGAAACAGTTGAAAAAATAACGTATCATGCTTATTGTTTAGTAAAGTTAAATTATGTTTTGGACATATTGAAAAAACCCTATTTTTATTCTTTTTCTATCAAGGAAAATGGCAAAATTCATTTAATTTTCCTGTTAATTTTTATAGAGATGTGTTACTTTTGCCCACTTTTTCAAATGTGCTGGATATATAGAAGTTTATATAATGGTAATTAAGCGTAAAAAAATCATTTATATTACAAAACATATTAAAATATTTCTACTTTATATACTAAATATTTAAACGTATATGTTCGCCTTTTAAATAATGCGAAAAATTAACAAATGCTTAATTATAAAATGTTACGCCAAAAATTATATTAAAAAATGATGTAACATAAAATGTTCAATTTTTTAAAGTGTCAAAAATTAAAATGAAACAAAAACATATGTTTAAAAAGTACAAAGTGGCAAGACTTTAAACAGAAAAAGATAAAATGTTCACTCTTTAAAGTACAAAAAAAAATATGTGAAAAATATACATAATATATTAGAAATGTTCTACATGCTTGGAACAATTAATATGTATATCATAAACATTGTTGAATATATATACACATATTTGATAAATTGACAATGAAATGACTTTGTAAATGTACAGTATATATTTTATGAACTTCGTCAATTTTATTTCCATATGTAATAAAATAACAATAGACATATTTGATCAATAAAATCAATATTATGTAAATAAATCAGGATGACTAACAATAACGCCACTATACTTGTAACATTGACTCTAGAATAAAGCAAAATTTATAATGATCAGGGCTTTCATTTGACCCTTGACATTTAGCAATTTCAGAAGTTAAATAGAATTTTTTCTTGTGTTTTGGAGGGTCAAAACATGTCAAATAGACCTGTCCTCTAAAACCCACGAGTCAAAGCATATTTTGACGAGTCAAAAACATACTCGCAGTGGTCTACTATTATATTTGAGTAACAAGGTGTAAAAACAATAATATGTTGCATATCCTCACATACAGAACACCATGAAGTAAAAGGAAACGTGTATAAAGTAACCGTATTGAAAAGCATCACGAGTGTTTAGAAAATGCATTCGTTTCATATACGGCCAATAACCTGGCAATCTGCAATGTTTTTAATCTACAATTGTTACAATATATTACAGTATGTAACACTATTGAAACAAAATAGAAAAAAAATAAACATAGACTGTCGTGGTCGGTGATTACGTGCATATGTACAAGTTTTGATACTGCAATGTCATATTTGATTCGGAGTGTGGGGATTGTTCACAAACATGACACAGCCCTATGTCCATATCCATATGTCGGTCAAACGTCTTTGTTTTTTTGTGGGTTTTTGGTGGGTTTATTTTTTTTTATTTTTAATAATATTTTGTGGGGTTTTTTTATAGACAAGGCACATTTCAAATGGAAATTGGAAACATCATTTACAGGTATAAGTAAACTTATTAACCTTTGTAAATTGAGAGTAGGGGCAGATTTCGTCCATTGGAGGCTATGTGTTGCACGTTGAAATCTGGCATACTTTGAGAGAAAGCCGCCGAGCAGGACACTGGAACTTGGTGAACTCCTCGGCCAGGGTTATCAGTTCTATCAGTGCTATCGTCGATGGGTTTTGGTTAGTCTGCTCATACATTTGACTATATATGTCTGTCAGTCTTATAGCTTTTAATTCCCCCTTCATCTGTTTCATGAATGATTCTTTAGTTGTCAGAAAGGCGCTGTCCGTCAATGATCCGTCTTTGTCGACGTAACCCTCCATTTTCAGTTTATCGAGTTCTTCACTCTCCACTTTTAACTTCCTCGTGCCTGTAACCCTGTATAGGTAATCGTCTTTTTTCTTTGCATCCATGAACGCATACACATACACAATTTCAGAAACCTCCCTAAACAGTGATTTAAATCTGTCTTCGGTCATATTTTTCATAGCCCGTTTCAGCATGATTCTACAAATATCGTCACGTTCATACCCAAGAGCAAATTCTCGATACTTCATGACGTTCGGTAGTGTGCAACTGGAGTCCATCAAATCGTTCCACAGAAGGTTTGCTGAAACCCTAATCTGAGAGCATGCAACCCTGGTAGTTGGTCCAAATCCTTCTTTGATGTGATACAGGTACAGTTTGGCAGATTCTTCAGCTATTTTACTTTTGTAGTATAGTACATCAAATAGTTCTGGAAGCATGGCTCCTTGTACTCGATCACCTAGCATATAAAATGACTCATCGTCTTTTGTAGGAATCGACTGGTATGTTTCATTGTAATCGCCCTCTTCTATGTTTTTGCATGATGTTCTGAGATAGCAAAGGAGTTCTTTACCTATAACGTCCGGTGTACAGTTTACGGTGTTATTGAAAAAATCTTTTAATATAGATTTAGATAAGTCTTCAGTCACATTAGGGTTAACAACCTCCTCCTTAGAACCGATGACTTCCCGTTTTTTTTGAAGAATCGTAATTATTTCCTTCTGTTTTTCTTCCAGGACCTTCTTTATCTCTTCTTTAATCGGGCATGACTTGATGCAATCGCTAAGTGGCTTTTCAGTTTCTGCTGATACCATCATTGCGTGTTCTAAACCCTGTAAAACATTCAGTTTTTCATCTTTGTTTGTTGGTGGGCTTTGTTGGCGTGCTATCTTATCCGTTTTGTTATCTTTGTTTGTTGGTGGGCTCAGAATTTTTTTCAGGTCTGTAAAGGCACTGGTAGATTTAATGAATTTACAGTTAAGACTTGTAAGGCATGATATCTTGTCTTCTCCCAGATACGCCACCTTTTTATTTTTCAACCAGTCCAAAAGTCGGTCACGTGTAATCTGGGATAAGAACTCTAATGTGGTGGCGATCTCCGGTGGAGATCGGGGTTTCCAGGGTAACGGAAGATGTCCAATTTCTCCTTGTTTGATGAGATTACTTTCGAGAAATATTGCCATCCTGTTTGCCAGCTGGTTCCGATATTTAGTTGACAGCCAAAACCATTTTCCTGCCACCTTGTGGTACTGTTTCTTTTTGTCCTTAATGCTACATGTACATGTACCATGAAGGAAATCTTGCAGGTTCCCTTTTACCGCTGACTTGTCTTTGGCTATAAACACGATTTGAGCCTTAGCATCAGAAAGATCACAGGCTTTGCGCATAGTTTCAAATGTTGGTGGCGATGTCCATTGTTGAATTTGCTTCTTACCACACATTAGCCTGATGTCGGAAGAGTGAGCCCAGTCTTCAACCTTTCTGTTGCTCAGGTAAACATCTGTATGCCCAGTATCTGTAAGTGCATCTTTCCTCAGGTTTTCATCCAGTTCCTTTTTTTTAACAGGGTCACCAATATATTGCGTGTAATCTAGTGCAGCAACCATTACTGGGTCAGTAGTAAAGTCATCTTGATGTTCATATGCATTAATGAACAGGTTTAAAACCTTCGCGAATGTTTCCAGATTTAGGGTTTTGTTTATTTTCAGTTTCGTTTGTCCTAATGTCATTGAGACAGACTTGCCTTCACAAATTATCTTTGCCAACTCTGTTTCCTCGCGTATCTGTGCAGTTAAACCAGTGATAATCTTCTCGTAGTTCCCCCTGATTAAAAGCACAGCTTCTCGTGAAAATGTCTGATGTTCTGAAATGGAAGGTCCTGCTATACAAACAACCTCTTTAGAGATTAAACAATTTCCATCCATGAAATGTTTCGCCATTGTCTTGCTAAATTTACTTTCTGTGTGTCCCTCTAGCAGCATATATGAGCGTCCAGAACACAAGCAGAAAGCATATTCAGGGTTTTTGATATCTGCTTTGAAGAAGAAAATGAGATCTTCGTGATTGATGTTTTTTTCCGGTTCGACTCCGGGCATTTTTTTTGCAGTGGTTTTGCATACTTTTCTCTGATAATAAAATATATGAAAGCCACTATATTTATCGCCGGTGTCCCCCCACTTAAATGACAATTCGCTGTCTTTGCGCTTGAAATTCTCTTCGATCACTTCCTTTACATTTCTATCCTGATAGTTTTTAAATGAAAACCACCTTAATTTGTAAAAACTCATATCTAATTTTTCCTTTCCTTCATCAATCTTTTCAAAACCACCTGTAGGAGCTTTAACAGTGCCGGGATTTTCTGGCATCTTCGATGATGGAATTTTAATAAAATAATCCGGCATTATTGACTGACGCTTTCTCTTCGGACTGTCATCAATTTTTCGTTTTTTACGACCTGTAAAATATAATTTCAGTTTAAATTATATTGTAAGGATATCTCTGTATGATTTGTTTGTGCTATTTGTAGCACAAGCTAATTAGTTCATATTACACGTTTTCTACAGTATTATCCGTCTAAATCGGCCCCTGTCTAATCCATATCATGTCTTACCTGTTTTGAAATGTGTGGTGCCGTATACATCGGTATCAGTATAACCTTAGAGCAGCAAAGGTACAGTGCATATATGTATATGTAGGTGCGTCCTTGCATGTCCGCGCGAGTGTGATTGTACTTGTATGTGTGTGTAAAGAATGTAAATGTTATCGTTGTAAGATATTTTATCGAAACCTAAGCTACATTTCTTTTGCAAACTTCTAAAGATAGATGACGAAATTTGTCCTTTTTTGTTCTTAAAAGCTTATAGAACGAAATTTTACATTGAAGGGTTGTATCAATGAGGTACTTAAGTGAAAAATTGTTCAATTTTGATGTAAATGACAACGTCGTAATCATGAAACTGTCAAATCTTAACAGAAGATACTTCAAGATGTGCTACTTTACCAAAACAATAAATTTACAGAAATTCAGCTCGTGTTTCCTTGAGGACAAACCCCGGAGAGTTGGCAAGCATTTGGAAATAGATTCATCTGTTTTGTACGAATAAGTTCAGTTTTTAATTACAGTTTATGCTCAAAACGAACTTTTTAGTAGGCATAATGTTAAATTTCCAATAAAACATAACCTCAACCTTTTCTATTTGCTAAAATCTAAGTTTGTTCTCAATTAATACCAAAGTAAAGCATTTTTCTGATGTGTCTTACATCGTTGTGATGTTAATAGCTTCCTAAATTAAATCATCTTCGCTATCCAAGTGTTCGCTTCGTATACACTCCACTTACCCTTGGCGGATATAGCCGTGTTTACCGAGCCTTCAATTTTCATGTGGTGCCAATCACTCGCATCCAATGAAATCGCGTCTTACATATAGCGCTATTGACGAAAGAAAACAGTAATGGCGACGCCCTGTACGGAAGCACGTTGTCGTTTATGTCAGAGTGTTTTGCTCCCAAACAATAGGCGCACGATCTTTGGGGAAACTTCTGAAGTTTTTAATCAGTTGGTGGAAATCCTTGACTACGTGCCACATGTAAATGATGACATGGGAAAATATGTGTGCTGCCTTTGGATTGTTTCCATATTGCTCAGTGAGTCATTTATACTCCGCCTCGACATACACATGCTTATGTCAACACGCCGATTGAGTGTGTATGTAACGGTCATTCTGATTGGTTAAAAGTTTATTGGGAGAAGAACGATACCTCGGTATATCCGCTAGGTGGCAGTGGAGGGCATTATGAAAACACGGCTATATCCGCCAAGGGTAAGTGGAGTGTATACGAAGCGAACACTTGGCTAGCGAAGATGACATTAGATAAACGCCGACATAACTTTGTGAAGAAAGCTTTGGGTTTTACCGAGCAACTGTGTTTGATGCATTTCCTGAAGTGTTAGTGTATTCTCTTATCCTAGTGGTTTTCCTGGTGATTTCCTAACGTGTTGGTGTATTACATTATCTATGTGATTTCCGAACGTGTTATTTCCTAACGTGTTGATGAATTGTATTATCATGGCGATTTCTGAACGTGTTGGTGTTTTATCTTATCATTATGATATCATGAAGTGTTCGTGTTTTTACCCTTGTAATTTCCTTACCTGTTGGTGTATTATCTCATTCTGATGGTTTCCAACGTCGTGATTGTTTATTAAGTTATCTAGATGAATTCCTAGCGTGTTAGGGTATTATATATGTATTATATCATGCTCATGATTTCCTACCGTCGTGTTGGTGAATTATCTTATCTTGAATAATTCCAAACGTGTTAGGGAATTTTCTTTATTAGATTAACGTGTTAGTGTTTTATCTTACCTGTGTCATTTCCTAACGTCGTGCATGTGAATTATCCTATCCTATTGATGTTCTAACATGTTGTTGTAATATCTAATACTGGTGGTTTCCTAACGTGTTGGTGTAATATCTTATACTGTTGGTTTCCTAACGTGTTAGTGTGATATCTTATACTGGTGGTTTCCTAACGTGTTGGTGTGATATCTTATACTGGTGGTTTCCTAACGTGTTGGTGTGATATCTTATACTGGTGGTTTCCTAACGTGTTGGTGTGATATCTTATACTGGTGGTTTCCTAACGTGTTGGTGTGATATCTTATACTGGTGGTTTCCTAACGTGTTGGTGTGATATCTTATACTGGTGGTTTCCTAACGTGTTGGTGTGATATCTTATACTGGTGGTTTCCTAACGTGTTGGTGTGATATCTTATACTGATGATTTCCTAACGTTATGTTTTTGAATTATTTCATCTTGGTGATGTCCTAACGCGTAGGGGTATTTTCTTTTCATGGTGAGACCTAACGTATTGGTGTAATATCTGATCCTGTTGAGTGCCTAACATCTTAGTGTGATATCTTATTCTGGTGATTTCTAACGTGTTGGTGTATTAATTTTTCTCGATCATTTCCTAATGTGTGTGTTTATTATCTACTCATGCTGATTTTTGACGTGTTGGTGTTTTATAGCATTCTAGTATTCCCTTACGTCATGTTTGTGTATTATAAGACTCTTTCAAGCTTAGGGATGTAGGATAAGGAAATTCCATCCTAGGTGTTTTCAAATTTGGTAAAACCCAAGGCTGTGCGGAGGGTTTTGCCAAATTTTAAGATCTCGAGGGTGGAATCTCCCTTTCCTACACCCTTGGGCATGAAAGAGTATTTTTCTCTCATTCCAACCACCAGATTAAGCTCAGAAACCACGAAAATGCGTTTGGACTGGCCACCATTTTGAAATAATAATTTTTTCCAGTTTGTGCAGAAAAAATGATAACATCTTTCTAACGTATACGGTAAATAAGGTTTTAAATTTCATCACGTCGCCTATTCCACATTGCAGCTTCGGAGATTTCAGAATTCGTGACGTCACGTCATTGTTGAGCCATTGGGACGTAACGTCACGAAAAATGCGGTATAAGATAGAAATTTCCTACATCCCTCTCTTACCCTGAACAGCTCTTTCTTACACACAGGGAAATGAGAGAACACCCTATCTTGACGATTTCCAAACTTGTTAGGATTGTATTTTTATGGTGATTACTGACATGACAATGCATTATCTTATCCATATGCTTTCCTAACATTTTGGTGTAATACTTTATCCTTGTGATTTCCTTCTGGTTTGTGCATTATCTTATTCTGGTGATTTATTACTGTACGTCGTCTTTGCATATTAACGAATCTCTGTGATTTCAACTCGTGTTGGGGTTTTTTTATTTATATTTGTTATGATGATGATGATATGTAACGTGTTGGTGTGTTATCTTAAACTAGCGATTTCTAAATGTGCACGTGTATTATCTTATCCTGGTGATATCATCATGTTTGTGTATTTTCTCCTAGTAGTTTCCTAACGTTTTGGTGTAGTATCTTGCCTTATTGATTTTCTAACGTTTTGGTGTATTATCTTGCCTTATTGATTTCCGTCCGTTTTGTTGTAGTATCTTGACTTATTGATTTCCTAACGTTTTGGTGTATTATCTTGTCCTGTTGAATTCCTAACAATTTGGTGTATTATCTTGTCCTATTGATTTCTTAACGTTTTGGTGTATTATCTTGCCTTATTGATTTCCTAACGTTTTGGTGTATTATCTTGCCCTATTGATTTCCTAACGTTTTGGTGTATTATCTTGCCTTATTGATTTCCTAACGTTTTGGTGTATTATCTTGCCCTATTGATTTCCTAACATTTTGGTGTATTATCTTGCCTTATTGATTTCCTAACGTTTTGGTGTATTATCTTGCCCTATTGATTTCCTAACGTTTTGGTGTATTATCTTGCCTTATTGATTTCCTAACGTTTTGGTGTATTATCTTGCCCTATTGATTTCCTAACATTTTGGTGTATTATCTGGCCTTATTGATTTCCTAACGTTTTGGTGTATTATCTTGCCCTGTTGATTTCCTAACATTTTGGTGTATTACTTGCTCTATTGATTTCCTAACGATTATTGTATTATCTTATCAATGTGATTTTCTGAAGGGTTTGTTGTATTACATTTTGCAACTTAGATGTATCCTGAAGATTACCTAACGTTTTGGTGTGTTACTTTTTTTGATAATTTCTTTACGTTTTTGTGTTTTATCTTATCCCTATTATGTATGTGAATAATCTTATCATGATGAATTCTGAACGTGTTGGATTTATTACATTTTCACGGTGATACCTAACGTGTTAATGTATATCTTAACCTAGTGATTTCCTAGCGTGCTGGTGTAATTATCCCTGTGATTTCTTTACATGCTAGTACATTTTCTTTTTCTGGCGATTTCATAACGTGCTGCGGTGTTGTTCTTTCCTGGTGATTTCCTAACTTGTTCGTGTATTTCCCTAGTAATTTCCGAACGTTTTGGGTGAATTATCTTGCCCTGGTGATTTCTTAATATGGTCGTGTATTATATCATCCTTGGGTTGTTGTTTTTTTATCGTCTTTGTGTGCTCTGACGTTTTCTTAGAGCGTTGACATATCTGTATACTTATATTTTTTGGTATATTTTCAAATCGTAACTGTTTTCTGTGGATATATGTCTAATAACCTACTGAAGTTGTTATAACTACCTTTCGATGTCGATGGTTCATTAACGTCGTTTTCATCGTTGTGTGAATCATTATCGTTGTCCTCTTTTTCTTCCTCCTGCTCCTGCTGTTGTTGCTCCTCCTCGTCATCATCAGCATCCTCAATATCATTTACATCTTCAGTCGACATAGATGACTCTTCGTCAGTTGCGTTTTCGTCTTGTTCCATTTTTGCAGGTTGGTCTGTTGGGAAATAAAGTACTGTTTACCACAAGGAAACAACATAGTTTAATAGGCGCACCCAGATATCAACAAATATACTCGTGTATTTCCCTAGTATTTTCTTAACGTTTTGGTGTGTTATCTTGCCCTGGTGATTCGCTAACGTTATGTGTATTATCTTGCCCTGGTGATTTCCTAACATGTTTTTGTATTATCTTCTCCTGGTGAGATCCTAAGATGTAAGTGTATTATATTATCCTGGTGATATCATAAAGTGTTCGTTTATTTCCTAGTAATTTCCGAACGTTTTTGGTGTATTATCCTGCCCTGGTGGTTTCCTAATGTGTTCGTGTATTATATCATCCTGGTTTTTTTTATTTTATCGTCTTTGTGTGTTCTGACTTATTCTTATAGCGTTGACATCGCTGTATTATCTTATCCTGACATGATGTGAAATTAGCAAGCAACGGTAACGCTTAATTGACCATTCAGGGGAATGTGATTAACTGCTGTCACATCACATTTCATGATAGCACACGGTTATATCGCAATCGTTTATTAATCAGCCTATTGTGAGGGAGTGTGTCAAAAGCCTTTTTGAAGTCAAAGTATATACATTCTATATACATGATCTAGGGCTTCTGTCCATTCTTCTAAAATATTTAAGAGCTGTAACGCTGTTGATCGTCCTGACATGAAACCATACTGCTTGTTTGTAAATAGTGAGTTATAAGCATGTGCTTATTAATGTGTGATCTAATTAATTTTTCCATTGTTTTACATAATATTGATGTGAAACGTATGGTTCGGTAGTTTCCTGCAAGGGAGACACTACCTCTTTTGTGTAAAGCACTGATATTTGCACTCCACCAAACTGTTGGGATCTTTCCTGTCTTTAATAACTGCCTGAACAATCTTGTAATTGGAATCTTTAAAAGTATCTGCAGTCTCCTTAATTATGGAAGGGTAAATACCATCTGGACCTGGAGATGTGTCTGGTTTTAATCCTTAAAGGGGCATCACGCTGAAGTAACTTTTTTTTTGTCTTTTTTCCAAATACTACATAAACATATCAAGTGAGACTCCTTATGGAAAATGCCGATCGGATTTGGCTGAAATAGATTCATAAAAATGATTAAATCTAAGATAATCATCGGTATTTCTACCTGTCTGACCAACGTTTTGTTCAGGGATTTCCCTCTACTAGCGCATGCGCATAGCACACCATTTCTTTGTAAACAAAATGACTGGCCGTGTGAAGTAAGCCAAAGAAAAGTGTTGTACCGTGTCAGCTACGAAGCGAATAGTTGCCAAATGGTCAAAAGATAGCGCAAGGGGTACGTTACGGAATCATTATTGCCAGTGGGAAGTATTCAAAGCAGAAAATAACTGCCCTAGCAGTCAGTACGGTGCATGTTTTCTTCCGGATAGCGGCCGGTTAAGCTGAAATAAAATCGACAGAAATGCTAGCGCTGTTTATGTTATGAATAAATATCTAAAACTATTAACCTCGCTAGTATCATTGTGTGAGTTTGAACACAGATGAACTTAGTTTAATATGTTAATGGGCATGTATCGGAGAGAGTTTACTTTGTGTTTTTTATAATTATACAGTGGTTTATGCAAACGAAAGGGATAAGTGACTGGTTAGTTTGATTTTGCCATGAGGCCCCCCAAGGGATAACTGCTGTGATGGCCACGGCGTATTCTGTTCTCTGATCCTCTGTCGGTGCTCGGGGTCAAATGAGATACGTGCGCTATTAGATTTACATAATTTATAATATTACCGGGATCAGTAAAATGGTATGATTTAATTATATTGCTGAATTAAACGATTGTTTTTTGTTTTGACATGCAAGTTTTAAATTAGTACTAATATAATACCCGGCCTGCCCTGGCGCGACGACGCAATATATAAAAAAAAAATCGCTCTTCGTCAGAAAGCTACGTTATCGCAGCTAGATTAAAAATGTCAAAATGACGGACCAGGATGAATAACTGAGGAAGGAGAACCTACTTCTAGTAAATAGGATCGCATAACACTTTTTTTTTAAATCGTAATTTTTCAACAGTTCATGTTTTCATATGATGTTGACTTAGAATGTATGATCATGTAACAACCTTTTCTCTATAAAGAATAAATTTTCGACTTCAGATAGAATCGGAATACGTATTGAAAACAGGGGAAAAAATATTTGATTACGTTATAAAAATGGCGCGTGCTGCCGATAACTACGGCTTCTGTTTCGGACCAAAGGAACTGATTAAAGAAAAGTTGTCTCAGCATAAAAAGGTCCATTTAAAAGTATGCTTTAATCTCTGTAAAGTATTGAAAAAATATAATTATCAAGTATCTCAACACGTTCCTTATTGACACATATTCTACATGTACACGTAGTGGTTTTGCCATACAGTTTATTGTGTGTGATGGTTAATATGACTTCCTAAATGTTAGCGTTTGGAGACAGTGAAAGTGGGAAAGAGAGTATACATAGATTTATATTCATGGTCTAGAAAAAAAATGGCCAAAGACATTGAGTTGTTTAATGTAATAAATAAATTCACAAACGTTTCCTTTTTATATTCGCGTGTAGTTTGTCATTGCATATATGCACTTTATGTAAACATTTGAAAAGGGATATTCGTCTCGTGAATATTCCTTTTTACAGAAAGGTTTGTCCCATTGTTGAGGGAGTGTTTAGCCCCGTACCACCTGTACCGGTCACGGGAGAAGGCTGTGATAAATTGTAAAAACTTGTGCCCCATCCTTTGTTTAATTTTATTGGCAACAAATTTATGTTAAAAGCTAAATAAATTTAAATTCTTAATATTGGCAAGTGTGCAATTAACTTCTGATGATGAATAATTACTGTTCAATAAGTTTGAATACGGAATTAGAAATCATATAACTTGGTTTCATAGTGCGGTAAGAAGTTGCAGTTGCCTGACGGCCCCTCTCTGAGGGCCCCTTTGTAAACCGTTTCATCTCGCTCGCACCACTTGTGTTTGCTGCCTAATCAGGTGACGTTATCGGCGCTATTTTTAGCCGGGCTTTCCCGAACAATTCAAGTGGTCAAACTGGACATTTGGAACGGACTATGAATATGGGGATAGCGAGGTAACATAAGTGGAAGTGCATACAATACATACATTCATTAAAAAAAAAAAACGCCTTTTCACGTGATGTCCCTTTAAAGCAACTTATTGACCTCCTCATTTATCTCTGTAGTGCTTGGTGGTATCTGAATGATTTCCGGTTTGAGAGATGGTACATTTGTACATTTGTACCTCCACTTCTACATGTAGCTCTACTGTAAACACACTACTGAAATATTCCTGAAGAATATTAGCCTTTTCTGTGCTGTTGTCAGTTTTTGTTAATTTTGGGTCTGTTGGATCTGTACATATATCTCTAATTCCCGTCTTTGTCTTACTTTTAGAGATGACAAACTGCCATTATTCCTTAAGATTGGATTTTCGGATGTTTTTTTCAAATATTCCTCTCAAAGTTTTTCCTGGTCTTGCGTGTAAGTTTGGCTACTTGGCTCCTCGCCTTGTTGTAGTCTTTGCCGACTCTCTCATCCCTTGTTGTGACAATTTTCCTATTTAGCATAGTTTTCCTTTTGGTTTTCTCTATGACTGTTTTGTCCAAAAGGAATTTAAGTGTCCCAGATCCACCTAAACGTAGTTTCTTCATTGGCACATATTTGTCTCCCAGTTTAATTTCTGAAATTTGTTTTAAGAAATAAATCCAGTTATTATTAATGTCCTTTGTTTCCTGTAGTTCATCCTTCAGCTGATCTTCTCAATCCCTTCGTTGCTTTTCACAAAGTTTGGTTTCTATATCTTACACAACCATGTGTTTTAGTATAACATTGAAAATAGAAAATTGAACACTTTTCCCCATGCCAGTGGACATTGAATTCCCAGGTCTTAGATCATATTTCTTCATTTGTCAGCACTCAGTCTAACATAGTTGGGTTATCTGTTTCTCTCTACTTTGTTGGTTTGTTGACATGTTGACTCAAACTGTTTTCTTGTAAGCATTCTATAATCTTGTATTCCCTAGAGTTGATGTTATCTCCCCTGGTATTCCAATTGTTCTATACTAGGGTAGTTGAAGTCTCCCATCAGTAGGTAGTGTGATAAGTTCATATTCCTTACCTCTGTAATAAGGTTGCACAAATTATTGTTGTTTTCCACTGATCCATCGTCTGGAGATGACCTGTATATGAGTCCAATAAGTAAACTATACTTTGAGTTTACTTGTATTTTCCCAAATATCTGTTCTTGGAACACAGTATTTGTTAGAACTTTTGTTACCAAAAGTGACTTGGGTACATACAGTATCATGTCTCTTCCTGTGTCATTCTCCGATTTATTTTGTAAACATGTGGTAATTTTATCCATTTCCGATATTAAACTCAGCTAAGTTCATCTTGTTTCTGTTATTTTTGTATTTGACCTCTGTTATTCCAATGACGAGAGGTTCTGTATCCCTTATCCTGACTTCAACTCTTCCAATTTAATTCTTAACTGATCTGCATTTCTATAGCAACATTTATTTTTTTCAACAAATATATTAATTCTATTTACATTGATTTTGTTTTGTCTGAGTTTCTTACTTAGTTCTTATTGGGAACTCTGACAAATTACTATTAGCTAGGAATATCAACATTGGTCTAATATATTATCTAAGTTGGGACATGCCAGCTTGATGTATACAATCATTCATGTTAAAAGTAAGCATTAACTGCTGCAATCATATTCTTCTTCTTTTTTTCTCACCACTGACATAAAAAAAAACTCATCCCTTTAAATAGTTTTCCCATCACCATTACTGGTGGCTGATGCACCATGATAACTAATTGAGTCCCATTTTTCCCTTTGACCTTCAATAACACTCATACAAATTATTATACTTTATACCTAATGACATCAGGAGATATATATTGATGAAAACATATATATATAGACGACTGTATGGAGTGAGATAAAAGAGTAAACTGGGTGCACTGAGGCGAATAATGATCGCAATCTTCAAAACAAGATATCTCACCATACATATCATCCATCGCTCGCAGCCATCCACATCTCGCCCGTAGATGTTGAATATCTTCCCTTCAACCTGATAGTCAGAATAACAGGGACGGGGAAGCGGTGCTCGGCAACATCCAGTCCAGATGCAAAAACCTGCGGTACAAAATCTCAAGAGTTTAAACTCCCATCACGACAGAATATCAATAAAATACTTTATCAATATCATGGCAGATCAAAACTTGCAACATGTCATTTAAGTATCATCTTTCATCCAATGACTCGTTTATCACTTGATACATACGGTACAGCGGTACTAGCCTTTTAGGGTGTTACAGGAACGTTGAACGGAAAACCCATCTCCAAACGTGTCTAATTCTAGTGGAGCACTTATAAAATTGCTACACAAATACCGGAAGTATATTGTATTATACTGTGAGACATCCAGTTATTACCAGTGAAGTATTATTGATAAGTCAAGTGCCTTACTCTTTTACATTTAACTCATGTTTGTGGTCGGTTAGGTATCTGTCTCATGTTTGTGGTCGGATAGGGCTGGTCTTCGGTAAAAACCTGGTTATTAGCTACTACTGTCCTCTGTCTGTCTGTTCGTTTACACTGTTACAAGTACTTATCCATACGAGTTATCGGTTAGCTGTGCCTTTCGAGACAGAAATCGGTAGAAGAGACCGGAAGCGTGACGTTCTCTGTACATGGGTGTTTAGACGCTGCGGTCTTATCATGTCTGCTGTAATTTTTAATCAATGGTGTAGTCCTAAATTAAAATAAACTTTACTATCAAGGATATATTTAAATAATGAGCATTATAAGCCTCAACGGTTGTCCCTGTTATGTACTTTGGAACGTTCGGCCTAATATTCATCGTCTGCATTGCCCGACACCCCCACACTGATAGGCGACTGGAATTTTGCCTGCTGTAGCCGTGTATTATATACATCAAGTGTAAATACTATATATGCAATAATTATAACAATACTGTTTATTATTTTTTTACATATGTTTCGATTATACTGCAAATTTACAGTCGATATCATTCAAATAAACAATAGTGATTGTATTATTTACATCTGTTAAATAAGGTATTCCGTACGTTGAAAGTGGTATCAGTGTAGGTTAGTGTTGTGTACACACATGTGTGTACGCTACACATCAACTGTGTGTTTTTATCTGGTGCGTCATGTGAAATTGCCCGCGGTTTTTGTATACGTAGACAAAAACGGGCTTTACCCGTGTAGTGTGGGTGCTTCAACAGGTGCGGCAGCGGGAAAGAAAAGCAGATTACATCACCATGGTAAGAAGTTAGTCCGGAAATTATCACCAAGGCTGTAGTTTATTGCGAGGCATTCAATGGTGTGAAATCAATCTGAATAAATACAACTGTTCATTATTACGTACCGCATGAACATCTGACAGTGATCCGTTCCCTTCTGCGTGTGTATGACCTTTGTGTTAGCCAATCAAATCGCAGCTTTTTTTTTTGCTTTTTTTATAATTATCTTTTTATTCAGATTTTTCATCAGTGCAATGTACATGTACAATAAACAGCAAAACATTCACTCATTTGTATACAGGCACATACATACATAAACCTATATCTGTTATGTCCACATTTGTACATACATTCTCAGGATTATATCTATCCACACTAGCACAAACATACATACTCATTTCCGTCTATTTTTACATTTCAACATTTTATTACCCACATATATGCACCCATCTATGTGTCTGACATATATATGTCTCAATCGTTCATTGCTATGTCTCGTGTAAAAATAGAACACATTTCCACCTTCATCACATATGGTATATATCTATATGCTGGAAAAAATATCTGCACTAAGTTATATATAACCGCACATACTGTATAACTCATGTCCATGTCAAAAACAACCATGTTCATGTATAAACATAATTAATATGATTACACCATACTCACATGCGTTGTCCTCACACAAACCTATATGCGTGATATTAGACATTTTCAGAAATTCCTGCATCTACTGATTATTGATATATAAATGCAAAGAGAAGAAATATCAGTCCCACACAAAAAGGTAAATGAGAAATTTGCACAGACTGTCTACTGAGTACATTGCATTGTCTTTATAAGAAAGAAGAATTGAGATAGAGATTGAGAAAAATAAAAAGAAAGGGAGAACAGAGAACATATAAGAAAAGAGAGAAGAAATGTAGGAAAAGTTGGGGCGAGATGGTGGAACAAGAGGTGGATTTTCACTCATGCATATTATATTATATATAGATAATATATCGGCTTTGTGAAGGGCAGAAATTAAAATATGTATGATGGAGTACGTCTTAAAAATAATAATAATAATGATTATAAAAATGTATTACAACTTAAGAGGGGATGCCACGAACCATCAAGCTTCCTCAATGAAAATTATTTAAACTGCTTCATATGAATTATTTTGTTTTTGCTTCTATGGTGGGTCAATGAAACCACTGCTAATATATCAGCCCAATTTTATTGCAATATTGCATTGCGTTACCATGGAAACCAACAAGAAAGAGTGGGGGTCATGAAGTTTGGAAAAATGTATTAATTTGACTAAGTTCTCCAATTACAATATGTTTAAGTAAGTAAAATTGTGAAGGCATCGATAAGAAATGATTGTGTGGGTCTCATTTAAATTATTTTGTCAATGTTATCTTTTTCTTGTATTGATTACAATTCACTAAGGTGGGTTTTTTTAGGGTTTTTTTATTTTATGTCCTTAATGGCCCCCTCTTTCAACTATTATTTTCTTAGCTCTGCAACAATAAAATTGTATACATTATATATATCCGGAAAGTACCGTCCCTTCTCAATTTGGATCGCGAATAAAATTGAGAAGCCTATGAACAGCGGATCGGAAAACAATGAGAATCTAGAGCACTAATTACCATAATAATGGTGTGAAATTATCTCCCTTTAAGGAGCTCTTCAAAAGTAAAAGCATATGGTAGCAGAGTACAGTAGACATGGCCTGATCCTTTAAATAAAGGGCATGACTCAGATGAACATGGATAGTGGATTCATCCTGCACAACACACCTATATATAGAATACATTTTTTTTAGAAGAATGATTTTTTTTCAAAAAGTGTTTTCCCCAGATATGGGTTACCACATCAAAAAACACCAAAAAATGCAAATAAAAAAATTTACCCAAAATTTGACCCACGCAAGTTTTTTTTAAAACCTGTCTTGAATTAAATATCACCTACTCGGTAATATAAATACTCACGCAGTTTACCAAATCCTGAAAGTGACAATCGTTCGTGAAGCTGTCTCGGCAGTTATCTTAAATCGACGAAAAGCCAAAGAATACCCGGTACTGAAAACATGGCAACTGACAGCGAAGGACTGTCAACACCAAAAAGAATATATATTCTGGACAACATCTGTGTAATATGTGGGTTTTCGTTTGTTCCGACGGAAATAGGGCCAGATGGCATTGCAATCACTAGGAAATTTACTAATCAAAAGTTACGATTACATTGTAACTACAGAACGATGTACAAAAATAAAATATGTCATCCCGTGATTCGAAGCAGAACACGGACAGTCAGACTGCGAAGTTTGTATCACTTGTTATCGCTTGATAGAAAAACAAAAACAAAATCTGCAGAACATGACAAATATCATGCAACATTGAAATTGAGTTCACTAAATTTGCCCTCGCCGCGACGGAAATCTGATAAAAGACTTTTGAGAAGCCATCAAGTCCCAGAATCAAAACAACAACAAACTGACAGGCGAGTGACAGGATTGCTTTCTATCACAAGAGTAACCCCTACTAAAATGAAATAATTCCAAGCCATTACAAATGTGACGCCCGTCAGTCCCATGTCCCATATATAGCTTCATATATCCCCCATGTCCCATGCCTAGCTTTATAGATCCCCATGTTCCATGCCTAGCTTCATTTATCCCCCATGTCCCATATTAAGCTTCATATATCCCCCATGTCCCATGTCTAGCTTCATATATCCCCCATGTCCCATATATAGCTTCATATATCCCCCATGTTCCATGCCTAGCTTCATATATCCCCCATGTCCCATGTCTAGCTTCATATATCCCCCATGTTCCATGCCTAGCTTCATATATCCCCCATGTTCCATGCCTAGCTTCATATATCCCCCATGTCCCATGTCTAGCTTCATATATTCCCCATGTCCCATGTCTAGCTTCATATATCCCCCATGTCCCATATTTAGCTTCATATGTTCCCCATGTCCCATGTCTAGCTACATATATCCCCCAAATCCTATATTTAGCTTCATATGTCCCCCATGTCCCATGTCTAGCTTCGCATGTCCATTATGTCCCATGTTTGTTCTGCATGTAAAATTGTTTTGTTTTAAATTCTGAATTGTTTGCATGTTTTGTTATTAGTGAATGGAATATATAAATAAAAGATTTGAATGTTTATCATGATACCCTCCAGTGATAATGCTATTGTTGCTTAGAAAATAGTTTTTATTAATGGAGGGTGATGTGATTCTCAATCTGAATAAATACAGCTGTTCATTATTCAGATGTTAATAGCCGTATGTATTTTTATTAACATCTGATTTTAATAAGATTGTGTGATTCTCGAATTGGATGAAAAATTGTCAAACAAAAGTTTTAATTTTAGAGTTCAAGGTCATTGGGCGCCAATATATTTACAAACTATTTATTGAGATTTGTTGTTGTCTTTTTTTCTGTATAATACATGTATATATATATATATATATATATATATATAGAAAAAATAAGATTAACGACCGACTAAAAAATTAGCTGCTTTCAACCTTCACAGAGCTCTTCAGTTGCCACTCTGTCAAAACCGGCTGGCGGCGCCTGGAAAGAGTATCCGCCAGAACATTCAACCTGCCTGGTAGATGCTTGACACAAATTGTCAACTGCATTTCCTGACATAGAAGCAGAATGCGGATAGCGAGGGCACACAGGGTGTGAGACCTGGTTCCCCCCTGTCTCTCCAGATACGCGACAACCGTAGTGTTGTCCGTAGCCACACAAACCACCTTGGAATGCAGGATCTCCCGAAAAGACTGCAGAGCCAACAGAACAGCCCTCATCTCGAGCACATTGCTGTGCTCCGAGAGCTGTTCCCCAGACCACTCCCCCGACTGGCAACGCCCGTCGAGATAAGCTCCCCACCCTGTCATGGATGCATTAGTGTACAGGGTCATAGTGGGAACTGGCTTGGACAAAGGAACCCCTCGGAGAACATTGTCCTGATGAGTCCACCAGCGTGCGTACTCCTTGACCGACTGGTTCAGAGGAAGCAAGGCTTCCCAATCCCTTGAAGAAGGGACCCAGTTGGCAAGGAGAAACATCTGGAGAGGCCTGATGTGAAGTCTCCCTAATGGGACCACATCGGCCAGGGCATTGAAATAACCCAGAAAACTGAGAAACCAACGTACCTGGACTTGAGACCGGCCGATGAAGGTCAGAGCAAAAGCCCTGGCCTTCTCGAACTTCTCCATCGGTGGAAGGGCGATGCCCTGAACCGTATTGAAACGGTTCCCCAGAAAAAACAAATCCTGAGATGGGGAAACCTCCGACTTTTCTCTGGAAGGAATGAAGCCGACCTTGAGTAAGAGTTTCAGAACCAACTGGGTGACCTGCACCACAACTGGGTGACCTGCACCAGAGACTCTCTCACTAGGTGGAGCATAAGGGAGTCGTCGAAATAGATGTGAACAT